CCAGACTGTTGCTACTATCAATGCGTTCTTCCTAGCTATGACGCTGTTCCCTGACGTGCAGAAGAAGGCTCAGGCTGAAATAGATGCTGTCATCGGTCCTGATCGTCTTCCCTCCTTCGCCGACCAAGACACTCTCCCCTACATCGAAGCGCTCGTTAAAGAGACCCTACGATGGCATTCTGTTATTCCTACCGGTGTGTGTTTTTCATTTAACGCATTATTTAGTTGCCGAGCGGTATTTCAATGTCAGGTTTTCCCCACTGCGTCTCTGAGGACGACATCCATGACGGGTACTACATCCCAAAAGGTTCCATGGTCATGACTAACATCTGGTCAGTACATTCTTTTTCCCATATTCGATGTTTGAACAAAATATAATGGCAGGTTCATGCTGAATGACCCGAAGAGATATGCTAACCCTTCGCAATTCAATCCTGAACGCTTTTTAGGCAAGGAGCCTGAGACAGATCCACGCACGATCTGCTTCGGCTTTGGAAGACGGTAAGCATGCAGCAGGTTTTTGCGCCATGCTAACTTTCTGCTCTGCAGTATTTGTCCAGGTATGCCCGATTCCCAAACTGTATTCTGACGTTCAGTTGATTTTTGTTTACAGGTATTCACCTCGCTGAAGCCTCTGTCTGGATATCCGCTGCGATGTCACTAGCCGTGTTCGATATCTCGAAGGCCGTCGAGAACGGTATTGAGATCATCCCTGAGGTTGATCCATTGTCAGGCACAATCAGGTATGTTATATATCTGATCCTGTCCGGCGCTGATCCGATGTATGCCCTTCTAGCCACCCCAAACCATTCAAGTGTTCCATTAAGCCTCGCTCTTCAAGAGCCACCGCGCTCATTGAGCAGGACGTTAATTATTAAGTATGTGAAGATGAATTACAAAGCTGATGAAAGTACTTGCTGTGGGCGATATCACATCGCGATACAATCGCACACGTTTTCTTGTTCCATGTTGACAGTGCACACTCTGGCATGAAAGACGCTTCCTGACAATAAGCCTGTATGGTACCTCTCGCCCATAGTCAAGAGCACACCCAGATATTTTGGCTATCTATTCATTGATTGGCACCTTCATGGCGGCTACTTCTGGCTACATCACCAACAGCTCGCGACAGACTTGTCGTGCTGAGAGACCCATCTTACTAGCATCGCGAATGTTCATCTCTCAAACTTTCAACTGCGGAGCCGCGAGCTTCGTGAATGTCAGAACTTTCGAGTGCCATCGATTTTTTTTATCTTCCTCGTTGCTCGTTCGAGCGTGTAGGACGGAAATATTAGTCTGATGCTTCTGGACTCTACCGCGGTCCACATCCCTTCCCCTTCATCTTCCAATCCAATCCGGTTTTTCGAAGTGTTGAGGCTTGGAAACTTTTCATCTGATTCAGTGCGAACGCGTTGTAAATCTATATCGTAAGTGTCGCCAAGCGACCGAACATGGAACTCCAGGGTCCTAGTGATGTGACACGACCTACTTCGCGATTGTAGGCCTTGCTGTCATATCTTGTTGTCAATGCTGACTTCATTCCATCATCATAAAATACAGCGTGCGATAACGGTGCTATCACACTGCTCGGCGAAACCATGAAAACCTCCATTATACGCTTGATATTTTATAATGCAAGGCATGCAAATCGACACAAATTCGATAGGTCCATATGCCCATGCATCAGGTTCTATCCTGGCTACTGGCATGGTATATCATTAATATTGTTGAACGACCACATAAGAGGCATCGCACGACTTTCTGCAATGAAGATCTCTCCAAATTCTAACACCTCGCATTTATTACATCTGTTTACATACTGTTTACATCAAGTCTTTTTATGCATGTTGATTAACATTCACTGCGTGTTTGCTCAACATATTCAGTACCAATTCCGTACTCAGTAATTAAGTCATTTGCTATTCCGAGCTCATGGTACGTCGCGTTCAGAGGTGCGGGCATCTCCCTTATTTTCAAGCCTCGTGTCTCATAGGAACTTCATGCGCACACTTCATCATGGCGAGCACCATTCAAGACAACTTACATCTCATCAATGTGTTGTCGACGTACCGATCTCCAAGCAAAGGTAGAACCATTACAGATTAGCCTGCTTGGTCCCAACGATTTTCTCAATTCTTTCCGTGGAAGTGGACTAACTGCGGCGTTAACATGCTGAGCTCAATCCTGTTTGTCTTTTGATATCCTACCGGACCACAGTATGCGCGCTTCCTCACAACAACGATATAAGAAATACTCGCCTATCATCGTCTTGAAGCTTAGCTAATTCTATCATTGACTTTTCTTGAATTGTTAGTCTCCCAACTGCAAATATTTCCTTGTAATGAATAAATAAGTCAAGAAGGGATAAATAAATAGCTTGCAGTTGGCGGTATGAGCACATTACCTTGCGCAGAGGGCGTAGTCAAACCTTGTAGAGTGTCCAGTCAGACTATATATAGAGATGCCAGGACTGCAATGGTCAAATTCACTCTTTCTGGACCGCCGAAGGTGTCAGAGCGTCATTTAGTTGGGGAATGGCTGCATTGAAATTGGGATTGCCCGAATCACATGGTTGCAGGTTTGGCGTCGATTGGCCTAGCATCCCAGTCAAGAATTGAAAGCAACCATCAAAGCACACATGTAAATGCTCACTTGGAGTAGCATTGTTCTTTTCTTCGCTTCTGCCTGCCGACATGGTACGTTCCAGTGAAGCACGTATGCCGGCGATGAATGATGGATCAGATAATAAAGGAGCATCGACTACCGCTCGCTCGACAATAGGATAGCTGAGAAAAGTAGGCCTGGCCATCAGTACTGACCAAGTGGAGATGAGCGGACGAACCGGTCGATTTCCCCTAACAGCTCACGCTGGATAGCATCATTGGGCATGGATATCAATTTTGGGTCAGAAGATAGCCTTTGTCGGGCTATATCATCGACACGAGACTTAAAGGCCTCGGTGCGTTCCTGTAGGTAGGGTAAGCGGTTGTGCCACGTATGTATTGGATGATAACTCACACTGCGCTGAAAATGTGATAGGAGATCACGTCTCAGACGGTCAAATTCGCCCGATTTTTTGAATCTGTGGTGTGGCTCTTAAGGATTATCCCGGTAGTATACAAAGTGACTTACTCGTCTATTAATTGGGTCGGATTGGTGATGGTCATAATACAAAGGGCGCATACTAGGCGCTGAGAGATAACGAGATGACGGTGAAGGTGAGAAGGACTCCCAGAAATAAAGACCCCGATTCGGACATAAGCAGAATCTAGAAGTTCATGATCAAGGATAGTACCGCACCCAAACCTAAACGAATTAACTGGGCCTCCTTATTTTCATCACAAACCACATTCGCTGGCATCTGGCGCGTACAAAAGTCATTTTTTCACCTGATCATCAAAATGACACAAGAATTTCCGACTCTAACAAACGACCTGCTCCTCCGCGCAGCTCGCGGCGAGCAGACAGAGCGGGCACCTGTATGGGTCATGCGCCAAGCAGGGAGATATCTCCCAGGTACGTCGTCTAGATAACCTCTCCATCCGATCCACCATAACCTACACCAGAGTTCCGAAAAACTCGTGAAACCCATGAGTTCTTCGAGATATGCCGCTCGCCTACTCTCGCAACAGAGATCACCATGCAGCCTATCCGGCGGTACGCCGGCCTTCTCGATGCAGCCATCATCTTCTCCGATATCCTCGTAGTACCGCAGGCCATGGGTATGGAAGTGATTATGAACCCGGGCCCGCACTTCACTGATCCCTTGAACACGCCTGCGGACGTCGAGAAGCTGCCCCGGGAGGTAGATGTAGAGAAAGAGCTCGGATATGTATTCGAGGCACTCACCCTCACGCGGAAGACCCTTGCAGGCCAGGTTCCCCTCATCGGCTTCAGCGGGGCGCCGTGGACACTTATGATGTACATGATCGAGGGCGGTGGGAGCCAGACGCGTCAAAAATCAAAGACATGGCTCTTTAAGTACCCTGAGGCTTCAAAACAGCTCCTTGAGCGCATCACAGACATCTGTGTGCAGTATCTCATCGGGCAGGTTAACGCTGGCGCACAGGTTCGTCTACGTCTGTCTCATCGCGTATCGGATCACAGAAGCTGAACAATGACTACCAACAGCTCCTGCAGGTATTCGATTCGAATGCTGGAGATTTGTCGCCGTACGACTTTTCTACGTTTTCTCTGCCATATTTGAAGCGTATCGCGGACGAAGTCCGTGAGGGTCTCAAGGTCCGGCAACTTCCTGTCGTCCCTCTCACCTTGTTTGCAAAAGGCGCATCCCCATCCCTCGCTGCAAGCGCAGGATACGACACCATCGGTCTCGACTGGACGCTCGACCCTCGGGATGTTGCCAAGGTCACCGATGGTATCATTGATGGTAGAACCATCACTCTGCAAGGCAACCTCGATCCCGTGGTGCTCTATGGCGGCAGAGAGGCCATCGAGCGCGAGGTAAAGAGGATGTGCAGTGCGTTCCATGATGCCAGGGGCGGTGCATGCAAAGCTTGGATTGCGAATTTGGGTCATGGCATCACACCAGGGGTTGATCCAGAAGACATGAAGTTCTTCCTGGAGTGTGTTCACAAGTACTCGGCACTACCGTCTTCATGACGCGGGAGAGAGGCAAAAGAAGTTATAATTGTACCAATAGAATCTTCATTCACGCTGTTAACAGGCAGGATGTCTTAAACGAGATCGCCTGCTCTCGCATATCATTCCATAGTGCCTTCTTGTAAGACAAGTGGCACGGAAAGGTAAATGAGATCAAAGCTACACGATATGAATGCTCGATGGATGGATGATTTGGGGGTAGTGTGGACAGTGCAGATACTGAGTACTGAGCCTATACAACGCCAGAGAAAATTTCACCATTAAATACAGAAGAAAAATGGAAATGATCATTGTCAATAATAAAAGTGCGAGAACTGATTGAATATGAACGCAACAAAGCAAGGATATAGCTTGCGACAGGTTCAATGGTATGGTGTCTATGCAACGACATCTGCAGCGCTAAAACTGCTTCTTCTCCGTCTAACGGGCCGTGGACCAGGGCGTTGTGAAGACTTGGAAGGAGGCATGACGATGGCAGATGCTCCTGCCTTCATCCAGGATTCAGGTTTGCCTGACCGCGTGGTTGGTAGTTCTGCCAGCGCAGGTACAGGGTTATGTTTCTTGGTGAGCGTCGGTAATCGTGAAGGGGTAGGTGAAGGGGGTTGGGGTACACGGCGCGCTGATGGGGCACCAGGCCCTCTTGCGGCGGCGGTACTCCGGGCCGCTGAACCTCCAGCCAATCGGGGTATCTTGTTAGGAGGTGGAGCCGCCGCTCGACTGCTCCTGGCGGCAGTAGTCTTCTGATGTACGCTTGTCGCGGATGACCGTAACACCCGCGTCGGGCGTTGTTCGGACGCTGTACCTCTTGCGCCCGAGACTCGAGTCGTTGTCCTAGCGCGAGGCCGGGCAACGGGTGGTGCTGCTCCAAGAGCAGGAAGGGTATCATCCATCTCCACATCTTCTTCGTCCGATTCAATAGCGACTCGTTTTGCCATAGGCGTCTTGCGTGGCTGTCCGGGAGGAGGCGTCTCACGCGTCCCTTGCAGCTATGACAGCACGACCGGGAGTGACAGGTGGTAGGGGTAGAGGTGCTGCGGGTGGCGTCAACGACCTGGTTTCGTGCATGACTTCGTCTTGTTCCGCAGGAGGTGTAGCAGGAGTCACAACATGTGCGGTGGCTGCGACTGCAGCTGCCTGTACACGTCGTATCTCATCTGCAGCGGCCCACTTGGCCCATTGAAGCTGCATCTGGTGCATGTAATGTTGCTGTGGACCAACAACACAACCTGGCCTGACAATGCGCATAAACGCAATCGCCTCCGATGCTGTGAAGCCATACTTCCAGATAAGATATGCTCCAATGAGGCATCCGGTGCGACCGAGCCCCGCTTTGCACTGAGTATCATATATACATGTTAGAACAGAAGCAAAAATACATATGAAATAACCCACATGTACAGCAACGACCCCACCGCCCTCGATGACGGCGTCTGCCACATCAATGAAAGTGCGAACGATTTCGTCTGACGGGTTTGACCCATCTTCGAAACAAAGATCGAGATGTTTGATTCCACGATCCAAAAATAGCTGTTTATCGTAGAGCTCTGCATTGAGACGAACGACCAGGTCGACTTTATGCTTCTCAAAATAATCGAGGCAATTGCAGAAAGCGGAATTAAGTTTACGTTGTAGAGCAAGTTTGCGAGGCGACTTTGGTGGTGAAGCCACACCGGGTCGCACAGGGGATGCAGGAACTGCAATAGCAGTGGCAGTCTCGATTTCATTCCTCTGTTTTGTCCACGCATAATCTCTAGGTGAAGCAAATGCGATGAAGTTGGGTGTTATCCAGTTCCAGTCACCATTCTCGACCTTTTCATAGAACTCGTAGTCTTGGAGGTCGAAAGTATCCAGGTCGATAAGGCGGTTTTGTATTCCTTTCCAGAAACCCCACAAACAGTCGTGAATGCTAAGGTTGAAGGTTGAAGGGCCACGTCCTGCGTCTCTGAAGGACATGAACTCTAGTTCGCTTATGGGTTGGAAGCAGCGCCATGGAGTGTAATTATGGACGATCAACTGAAAGGAGGTGAATACGGTAGGATTTTGTAAGATGACAGGTCATACCATGTACAGGGCCATCAACAAAGCAGCATTAGCTTTACGACGTGGATCATCCGAGGAATAGAGAACGAGACGGTGTGCGCTGAGATCTTCATCCTGTGGCGATCATGATCGCGTGCAAACGATCGAGGAGAATTGGACGCGTACCTTCAAAAGGCCGTGAATTAAGAGGCACGCTTTGTAGACCATTGCGAGGTTTAGCGGGCCCCAATCCTGATAAAATGAGGTGTAGAGCAATTGGTCATCAATCGTAAAGTAGTAGTAAATTGCGTCATCGTCCGGGGAGGGGGCTGAAGGACCAAGTGGTGCACCCATGTGAGGTTGGGGGCGAATCCTTGGTGCATTTCCTGAGTTCGAGGCTGTGCTATTGAGAGATTGGGGAGATGGTGCGGGGTAGGGGAAGGTAGTAAAGTAAAGTCTAGAGATAGGATTTAATTCAGAAAATTGGACATGACCGGTCGTGAGCGGACTTTCCTGTCTCCAAAATAACAGAGCGGTGCGCAAGCTGGTGCCATGAAAGGAGTTCGCTGTTGTGAACGGTGACTAGAGTAGTAGAAAGCCTCGTGGTGGTCAGAGAGAAAGACGCGGTTTGTGAGGCAGGAACAATTGCCGCTATCAAGCCTCGAGGAAAGAACCACCTTACAAAAGGAAACGGGTCCCGTGACCGTCGCGTCAGGTCTTTGCTTTCTTCATATCCTTTTGTTCTACTTCTTTGACAGTCAAAGTAATTAACTGCTCTCACTTGCCACAGGCAGCTTCCAGAATCATAAAGACTCATCACCACCAAAAGTCGAGCAAGGATAATCCTAGCTCCTTGGTAAAAACAGTGCGTCTGCAACGAGGCAATCCGCTAAACAACGTGTGTGTACATTAATGTGCGGCAGTATCTAATTCTAGGCGAACAGACTAGGAAGCCTAAATGCAATACCAAGGGGTCACGGGCGTAACTGAATCGAGATAGACTTGCGAAGAACACGAGTATCCGAGTCGGATCTTATTACTAAGTGATGGATTGTCAGGGATCTTGGCGCGAATGGTTTCAAAGGCGGTCGAAACGCACTCTTGAGACATTGTGAACCCGCCTACAGCTGATCACGGTGCAGTCCTGTAGCATTTCAGACTGTTGTAAGAAAAACTTGCAGGTCAGCCTTGGGAGCTTGGAGAGCCTGGACAAAGTTACTGTGGTTGTTGCCAGTTGGTAGCTGCGGCAGCGATGGTACATGATATTCAGTGATAGGCATGCTCTCTACAGAGTTGAATGCAACTATGAAGTCCTTTAGATGTCGCAGAGCTGAGAGAATGACATCGCGTTGTTTGTTCTTGTTGAAGCACGTGTATGTATCGGAAACCGCGACGCCGTCAGCACCAGCTCGCCTGAGGGTCCACCATCAAAATCGTTCTGATAGCAGGAATCACACGCATAAACGCGTTTCACTGTCTTCATCATGCCTGAGGGACAGATTTTCAAGGTGCTACTACTTGCTACCCGCTAACCGCCCTACACTGACCCCATCCCTGTGGCCCATAACCTTAGGCAACTTACAGTGGAATTCCCGTGTTCGAGATGTGAGTCATTCATTCCACATTCAAGTCTCAGCCTCTTTCATGGCTACGCGCCCAGGATGTGCAAGGGCGTTGCTGTTATGCGCCGGCGCGCTGACTCGTGGCTCAACGCGACTCAGATCCTGAAAGTCGCAGGATTCGACAAACCTCAGCGGACCCGCGTGCTCGAGAGAGAAGTCCAGAAGGGCGAGCACGAAAAAGTTCAGGGTGGGTATGGAAAGTACCAAGGTATGCAATTTCCGCGACTCCTTTTTTTGTGATCACTTAAAGAACACGCCCCACTACAGGAACGTGGATACCTCTTGAACGAGGTCTCGCTCTGGCGAAACAGTACAACTGTGAAGCTGCTCTGCGCCCCATCATTGATTTTCAGCCGGCAGCCAAGAGCCCGCCTCTGGCTCCTAAACATCTCGTCTCTACAAGTACAACGGCTCGTCCCGCGCGTCGCACAGCTGCAGCTGCAGAAGCAGCGGCCGCCCTTGCTGCTACTGCGCGCTCGCGTCGTAATGTAGAACCCCCAGTTGAATCCGATCACGAAATTCTATCCGTTCATGCATCAGAGGATGGATCCATGACATCCTCGCCTTCCCGCGGTTCGTCAAGTTCACGCACTCCCTCACCCATCGGAAATACATTGGACGCTACTAGAGACCGTCGCAGTGGCAATCGTCGAAAACCGCCACCGCGCCACATAGATGAACGCTATGATGACGAGGGTTCAGAGGAGGAATCTACGCAACCCAACGGCGCCACCGACCCACGCGCATACGCAGACCAAATCCTCGAGTACTTCATTTCTGACTCAAATCAAGTCCCCCAGGTTCTCATTTCCCCACCGCCTGATTTTGACCCGAACACCGCCATTGATGACGATGGTCATACGGCATTGCACTGGGCCTCAGCAATGGGCCGCCTACGTATTGTCAAGTTGTTGATCACAGCAGGCGCAGAAATATTCAAAGTGAATAAAGCAGGCCAGACTGCGCTCATGCGAAGTGTCATGTTTGCAAATAACTATGATGTGCGGAAATTCCCCGAGCTGTACGAACTTCTTCACCGTTCCACACTCAACATCGACAATTATAACCGGACCGTGTTTCACCACATTGTCGATGTTGCAATGTCGAAGGGGAAGACACATGCCGCTCGGTACTACATGGAAACAGTGCTCAATCGCCTAGCTGACTATCCAAAAGAACTCGCGGATGTCATCAACTTTCAAGACGAAGACGGTGAAACTGCACTGACAATGGCTGCCCGGTGTCGGAGCAAGCGTCTCGTGAAACTTCTTATCGACCACGGGGCTAATCCAAAGATCATCAACAATGATGGCAAGAGCACTGAAGACTACATCCTCGAGGACGAACGTTTCCGTTCATCTCCAGGCCCAACCTCACGCCTGTCATCGATGTCCTTCCGCAATGCCCAAGCAACTCTCGGCCCCACAACCTCCAATGCCATGACGTTGGCCTACCCTATGAATGGTGACAAGCCGCCGCTCCATCACTCGGTTGCAGCGCAGAAGGCCAGCACGCGCTGTGTCAACGACATCACGAGCATGCTCGACAGTCTCGCCTCATCATTTGACCGCGAACTGCAAGAAAAAGAACGTGACATGACACAAGCACATGCACTCCTGCAGAACATTCAACAAGAAATTCTAGAGAGTCACCGGGCTGTGAACCAGCTCAAAACGAAAGCGGAGGGGCTGCAGCTGGCTAAGAGTGTGCTTGTAGATTTGGAAGGACGGCTACTTGAGAAGATGGGGAGGCGGTATCGTCTTGGCTGGGAAAAATGGCTAAATGATGAGGAGATGCGTGAAATGTCGATACGGAAGGCTGCTGATGGAGAGTTAAGGATCACAGCAGCGACAGTTCCTTATCGGACGGACGACGTCATCGAGGAAGTCGTAGAGCCTGGAAAGGACAAGGGAAAAGGGAAGCGAAAGGCGTTACCCCAAGAGGAAGATATCTCGGACCTGTTGGCGTTATATGCTGACGTTCCTACGGATCCGGAAGCAATTCGAGCCGCCTGCGATGCCTTACGAGAAGAGATTGGACTGCACAGGAAACGAAGGAAAGATATGTTTGACGAGCTGGCGTCATTCCAAGCAGAGGCGGGGACTGGGGGACGAATGGCAGACTATAGAAAACTGATTGGGGCAGGGTGCGGTGGAATGCAACCATCGGAAGTGGACAACGTAATTGGGATGTTACTCGAGGTGATTACATTTCTTCGAGTATTGGCTGTATGTCTCACCTTTTCTGCTGTAGACGCTGGAATCGGAGGAACCTAGCGCGTCGTCGACAGCATGGAGCGGGTCCAAAGCTGGACCGATGAGCTGATGGCTAGGTTTGTTGAGGCACTGGTAATTTATGACATTTCTCTCTTGTAATCATACCGAGCCCTTTATTGCTGGATCTCGACTTCAATACAAAAATCGCACATCAATCGTGGACTGCCGCCTTTCCACTGAAACATGGGAGACTTTCCCTGCAGGCGAAGAATCGTGCGGAGACTACAGTAACATTAATGTTTGCTTTCGTTGCTCTGTGATCTCGGTGGGACAATCAGACCAGTCACCAGAGCAGTGACTACCTCGCAGTCATTTGCTGATACAATCATGAATAAAAAACTAGTTTGCATTTTTAATTCGAGGAACAATGCCAGGGACAAGCTTGCGAGTCGGGGGTGCACTGTGTCGACGCCGTTACGATGTAGTACTTAGCTAGAGTTACTAGGCTTCTTTTGACGTAGATCCGAGTCCGAGTCCCTTCAGCGTTTGATGAAGTTGCTTAGTCAGCTATTACTTACTTTTCCTCAAGTTGGCTTGAACGCAGTGGACAGTCTCGGACTCGATGTCACTTACCCGTATCCAGGTCCAGCGAGCTACTACTGTCTCTCCATGGACGAGAGATTTCCGACACCTTCTCCCTGTCCCAAAACACTTCCAGAATAGACAGACATGGTTCGACCCCATCACAAAGGCCGTACGCGTCAAAGACCGCATAAAATACTGGAACGTCGTTCCAGGTGATCAAATTTGCATACGCGGGGACACACGCAAAACCATACATGAGGTTCTGAGCATAAATAAATTCACGAACCGTGTCTATTTGAAGGGTGCCAACCTCGTGCGTGGTTTATTATACTGACTGGCATACTTCGGTGCTGACTGAGTAATTTTGTAGCACGAGGGGAAGCCATACAAGACCCCGGTCAACCGTAGCGTGCACTACTCAAGATGTATGCTGTACATCGGTGAACAAGTGCTACAGACCACCTCACCTGGTGAGCAGTCCAAGGCGATCTCGTAAGTGTTTACACGTGCCCGTGTCCTTGCCTTTGACTGTATGTTGTCTACAGTGTGTTTGCGAGACGTGTTGGTGCGCGAGATCCTCATTGGGATCCCATTCTCTACCGCTGGAACTGGAAGCGTCTGGTGCTCGCTACTGATCCATACACCCCGAAGACAAAAATCGAACTAGAATGGCCTCAACCGGAAGAGAGAGAACACAAAGAACGTCAGGCGACTCTCATTTTTCCTTTGTTTCATTTTCTGACCTCAGGGTGATGTAGCTAATCCATTGTTGGACACGACACCAGAGGCGGTTCGGGAAATAACATACAAACCACCCGTGTTCTCTCTGTCCAAATTAATTTCTCTCCAGAGCGACGCAGCTGAGAAGGCGTACCTTAGGACGCTATTCAATCCTTCCGCCGTTCCTTTCGACACGTCAGCGCCGATGGAGGTACATCTTACAAAGGAACTGAGTAACCCTCATAGCAGAGCGAAGAAGCAAGCGCGCTGGCAGGCTGCTGTGAAGCGGAAGAGCACGCTCTTCAAAAAGTTCATTGCTCAGGAACTCAAGAATATTAATGGCCGGAGTATTCGGGATGCGCGTGCAGAAGCTGCTTTCAAATACCGGCAGAAGCTGGAAGAGGAGAGAAAGTCGGAGAAGAAACGGAGGTGGTTGACCAAGGACCGTCTTGCGAAGATGGATAGAAAGTCTAAGCGCAAGGCAAGGAAGGCAGAGAAACAGAAGGAGAAGCTCAGCCAGTTGGTCTTGCGAGATGCGCCAAACCAGTTTATTCCTGGCAAGTCTGCGAGGAGACAAGAGGCATGATGATGTGTTGGGGGATGTTTCTAGCTATAGTATACGATTGATGATTATCAACTATTGGTTGGTTAATTGCTTCTCAAGCCGATTACTTCAAACATATCCTTTTTCACGTGAGAGACCTACCTTTAGAGGGCCGGGCTAACAGATAATAGATTAGCCCAGTGAGGACCTCAGGGCCGGGGTGGCGGCAGGCACTCTCCTGAACAGAACGCAGCATGATGTTGCACCACACTTCTTTCGCTTCCACCATACCTTCATCACTCGCGACGTTGCTGCATTCATAGGCGCAAGCCACGAAACCTCTCTGAAATGAATATTCGTGCGTCTGGTTCAGATGTGGGAGCTCGAGGTGGCGTGTCCCGTATAACCACAGAAGCCGAACACGACGACTCGGGTAATGACCAGATAATCATGGATATTTCACGCCCGCAAGATATGCGTGGAGACTCTCGTATACGCTGGGTATACTTTATGCTAGGAGCCGCTACTCTGCTATCATGGAACGGTATGTCCTTGGGAAGATATGGACCAGCCAATGGCTGATATTTTCCGCCAGCAATGATCAATGCGAATCCATTCTTCATGTCGCGACTGTCGGGTTCACCACTGAGAACGTCATTTAGTTCATACTTGTCCAGCGTGTTTACCGCCAGCAACGTGGTCACATTGGGATATGCGATTATGACCTCGAAACAGGTGGGTGCTGTATGCATGAGGGTGATTTGCCTCTGACCATGGCGTGCTGTTTAGTCTTCCCCTTCCAGGCGCGCCTTCTGGTCCACTGCGTCCACCTCAGCCATCGTCACTATACTGTTTTTGACAACATTCCTCCCCCTTAGCCCAGCTCCATTCTTCTACTTCATCATGATAAGCGCGTTCTGCTTGTCGGGCTGCGCGTCTTATCTATCGAACTCAGTATTCGCCGGCGCGGCACTCTTTGGCGCACCTTACATGCAATCAATGATGTCTGGCCAGGCTGCAGTAGCCGTTGCTGTCAGCAGTGTGCAAGTCATCAGTTCCGCCATCTCAATTTGGGGAACCACTCCAGTGGCTCTGGCCATTGGTGATACCGACCCTGATGGTCAAGCCGAGGAGAAATCTGCGCGTATATTCTTTGGAATTTCCGCGTTGTTTATGATTGCTACGCTTCTCGCATATAAGTGGCTAGCATCATTACAAATATATACAACCACTATGGGAGCTCTCGAGGACAGCGTCAAAGCCCGAGTTGTCTCAGATGAGGCTGACGAACGACAGCCTCTCCTGCCTGCGGCGCTGCCAAGCGCAGTTGAAGGGAACCAAATTTTCCGTGTTCTCAAGACCAATTTTATTTATAATTTTGCTGTGGGATTTGTTTTCACTGTAACTTTGGTATGTTTTCTGAGATCGTCTGCTAGCATCATTTCCTCACCAGCGTCTATAGGCTGTTTACCCAGCCATCACTGTCACCATCAAGCCGACGAATCCGAAGACTCATCCTTTATTGTTTAGTGCTGTACACTTTTTGGTGTTCAGTTTCGGTGACTTTTTGGGACGATACATGTGTTCCTTCCCACGACTCATAATCTGGTCCGCTCGACGTGTTTTGGCTCTAACTCTCCTTCGGATCCTGTTTATCCCTGCGTTCCTTCTATGCAATGTGGAACTTTCGCTCCATGTTACGCCGTTTATCAGCTCTGACTTGGTCTATATGCTACTCTTGTGCGCTCTGGGCGTGTCGAACGGTTATGTGTCTACTTTGTGCATGTTAGGCGCGCCCTCGTTGGAACACAACTCGAGATTGAAGGGCAGGCAGGAAGATGTCGATGTTGCTAGCACCGTCGCAGCTTTCTGTCTGATAGTGGGATTAGCAGTTGGCGGATTTGCGAGCTTTGGAGTAAGGGCTATCATATGCAACTGCGACCCGTTCACGTCCTAGACTTCGGGTTGTTGCCTACGCACATACCTATGATACCATGGAATACAATTTTGATTTAGAACTACTGTATAGTACTTGTCCAGAATACTGCTTGCGCTTTTATATTTACTGGATTGCCTCGGCATGTTATGCATTTGTTGTCTTTCCATCAGCTACTCAATGAGGCAAGTCATTGCACGCCGTGTGTACAGGGTGTGGGGGCGGGCCTGGAATTTTCCCACGTTGGTGTGTGACTGGGGCATGGGGGACCCCGTATCCTGAGACATGGCGAAGGCTGATGGCACAGGGAGTAACGTCCATGATTGCATGTAGAATAGGGTGCGGGGCAACTACATGCGTTGCAACAACGTACCCAGAACTTTCCGCCAGGAAAACGGTGCAGAAAACAGGAAACGCGACTCGTCTCAATAGTCACGTGACATGGAAGCTCTCGGTTCGTTACTTCGTTACCTCCATTCTGCCATGATTGGGGTCCCAGGCAGGGACAAGCGGCTATGTCGCTACTAGTAGCTAGACATAATCATCATACGTAATGCGCCACGGTGACCGAACTTGTCTTGTTAACTCGTTCGATATCGTAAATCATTTATATCATGGTTGGTCTGGCAGGCTCTGCGAGCAAATGGAAAATGGAGAGGCTTCTCGCTTCGGAGACGGGCATCTTAACCGAACAGCACTCTTCCGGCTCTATTCCACTCCATTCACTTCACCGTCACAGTACTCGTTCGTAGTCTTGCACTGACTGCACTGAACCCACCAACCAACTCTTTCATGTCAATAGGGCATAGCAGCATGCTGCCACAGGTATCAACCACAGATTCGGGGGCCGTTTATCATGCTCTCCCACCAGCCGAGGTCGATGACGATTACGACAGCGAACTTGAATTGGCATTCGATGATTCTGCAAATTTTGTCGTTAATCAGGTTGTTGATAGTCGAATACGGTGGATATACTTTATGCTAGGCTGCGCGATCCTCCTCCCTTGGAATGGTGCGTATCAATACTTATCTCTCTGGTACTCGTTATGGTCCTAAACCGTATAATTTTGCCCAGTATTGATCACCGCCACCTCGTTCTTCTTGTCTCGCTTGGTCGGATCGCCATTGCGGGCAACCTTTACCTCATATCTGACCACCACTTCCAACGTGTTCAATGTATTTGCGCTGGCACATGCCACGGTAACTTCGAAACAGGTTGGAACCTAATTACGGAGTCTGTAATATGTATCACGCTGACCATCATATTGCCAGTCGTCACCCTCTCGACGAGTTTTTTGGTCTGCCGCATCAGTCACACTCATCATCATTCTCTTGTTCTTCAGTACCTTTGGATACTACCAACCATCAACCTTCTTTTTCTTTGCAATCCTTTGCGCTATCTCTTTGGCCATATGCGTTTCATATCTCTCCACAGCCGCCTTCGCTGGAGCCTCGCTCTTCGGGGCTCCTTACATGCAATCTATGATATCCGGCCAGGCTGCCATAGCTGTGGTTGTTAGTGTGGTCCAGGTGGTCACATCCACTTTGTCTGTGTGGGGTTCGACACCGGAAACAATTGCCGCGTTCATATCTCACGATGGCATTGGAGACGGGATGGCAGAGCAGGATTCTGCCCGTATATTTTTTGGAATATCCGCATTGTTCATGGTAAGCACGTTCATGGCGTATGCCTGGATGGCACAGTTGCCAGCCTACAAGGCCACTGTTGGGATTTTGGAACAAAAAATCAAGCTTGAAGGCGCCCTGGTCAGTGCCGATGAAACTGCCAGTAGAGGGCTCGTCTTTCGCGATACAAATCAAGCAAGCCTTGAAGAAAGAAATCAAATAATACGTGTATTCAAAGCGAACATCCACTATGAACTTGCTCTTGCATATGTCTATGTGATCACTTTGGTGCGGTAACTTGACTTATTACCTTGGTTGCGAGTTAACTCTTTGCTCCCAGGCCATCTTCCCTGTTATTACAATTACCATACAACCAACCAACCCCAATACCCATCCATTACTATTCACCGCCATTCATTTCTTGATGTTCAACCTCGGCGACTTCTTTGGACGATACATCTGTTCTTTCTCGATAGTAATAACGTGGTCCGCTACACGCATACTGGCATTCTCGGTCGTCCGTACCCTGTTTATCCCCATTTTCCTTCTGTGCAACACGGTACAGGGCCCTTCACGTGGTTTGCCCGTAATTAGCTCCGACTTTGTCTACATGCTCCTTGTCGGTGCTCTAGGCCTCTCCAACGGATACGTCTCTACGCTCTGCATGCTGGGTGCATCCTCTCTGGAGCACAATCCACGATTGCGACAACGTCTCGAAGACGTCCCTACTGCGAGTACCGTGGCTGGTTTCTGCCTTATCGTGGGTCTTGCAATCGGGGGTTTTGGAAGTTTCGGGATGAGAGCTATTATTTGCCAATGTAATCCCTTCATAGATTGAACACGTATACCCTAAACCCATACATACAGTGATACACCAGAATTTAATAGTACGACTATGTATCAGACAATATATCATGATATCACGGCAGACTGCTACTGGGAGCTCCTGGAAGACGAGGAGCTAGATCCTTTGCCTGTGAGGTTTGCCTCCGTCGTCGGTGCTCCGAGACTCTCAGGGCAAATATATCGCGATGTAAAATATACTTCTCGTGGGTGGGCCTTGGTGAGAGAGAACCCGACTTGGGCAATGATCCCGGCACCTTTGATGACTTCCCTGACTTGCCGTCATCCTCTTTCTTTTCGCCTTCATCGGCTGGTTTGTCCTTATCCACCTTCTCTTTCTCTTGCTTGCGTCTCTGCTTCTCCTCCCACTCCTCCCTGAGCCTCGCGATCTCCTCAACACTGATTCCTATCTTGTTCTCGCTCTCAAGCTCGAGCACGCGAGTGGCGAACCCGTGGTCTGACAGGTGAATCGTGCATGTATACAGAAAATCGGAGGTATCTATCGTGGCGAGCACGGCAGTCGTTGGCTTATAGCAGATGTAGCATGCTTTTGCAGTCGCTGTGGTCTAGTTTCTTTGGTACGGGTAGAAATCAATGGATTTGCTTGAACATACTCGCTTGTAGTAAAGATTCGGGAACGACATGGTTGCAGCTACGATGCTGCTGGTGTTTGTAAAATTCGGTTGTGATCAGAAGTCGGTACGGTTGGACTTGTTTCACAGCATCCAAAGATCGATGCGGAAAAGAAGACGGAGAGAATCTTAGCGCTGGAAGGAGATAAAGATACGTCTTGTCATGTGCAAGCTATGTAACGACAGCATGCAGTATCTGGACTCAAGTGACTGATAATGATCTATTTCTTCGGCCCGCGGCGGCCAGCGGCATCAAGGGAGAACGGAGCCACGATCCGCAGGCCACCTTTCTCACTCAAACAATCATCATCATGAGCACAGTCGGTAAGCCCATTATCTGCAAGGCTGCTGTTTGCTGGGGTGCTGGCCAGCCCCTCAAGGTCGAGGAAGTTGAGGTTGCGCCCCCGAGCGCCAATGAAGTCCGCATTAAGATATTGTACACTGGTAAGAAGAGGGGGATCTGCACAGTCATCTTTGGTTGCTGATGGGAGCGATCTTGCAGGTATATGTCATACTGATGAGTACACTCGCAGTGGCAAGGATCCTGAGGTGTGCCTAGAGTTCAGTCTTGCAATGACATGAGCTCATCCGAAGCATCGCAGGGTCTCTTCCCCGTGATCCTTGGTCACGAAGGTGGGGGTGTGGTGAGTCAGAACACCTGTCACTTTACCTATTGCTTCATTGTTCTTCGGGGTTCTCTAGGTCGAATCGGTCGGTGAGGGTGTCACAAGCGTGTCAGTTGTAAGTCTCAATCATAAATACGCTGGCATGCCCTTCCTAAACACCCTTTTCCAGGGCGACCACGTTGTCCCGCTTTACACTGCTGGTGAGCCGATCCCTAACGGTCCCTGAATTCCTTGCTCAGTCTAATTCACCAGAGTGCCGCGAATGTAAATTCTGCAAGAGTGGGAAGACCAACCTGTGTGGAAAAGGTTAGACTCTTGTATCATTCAAAGACATGAGTCTCACGATTATCGTGATCAGTGAGAACAACCCAAGGTCAGGGTCTGATGCCTGATAGCACTAGCCGCTTCACGTGTAAGGGTCAACCCATCCACCACTTTGTATGTGTCCCAATTCCTGTAGCATCTGACGATATTCACTCGCTCGAACAGATGGGAACTTCAACGTTCTCACAGTACACTGTGGTGGCAGAAGTGTCTGTCGTCGCTGTGAACAAGTCTGCGCCTCTTGAGAAGGTCTGTCTCCTTGGTTGTGGAATCACCACCGCATGGGGCGCAGTTGTGAAGCAGCCAGGCATCAGTATGTGAATATCTGGTATTCCTACTGTCACTCATATGGTACGCAGAGGGCTCCAACGTCGCCGTTTTCGGATGCGGTGCCATCGGTCTCGGTGTCATCTCTACCGCGTCGGTAGTCGGTGCTTCTCGGATCATTGCTGTCGATACGAACCCCGCGAAAGATTCTTGGGCAAAGAAAATGGGTGCTACCGAATTCGTCAACCCTACGACGCTCCCGGAGGGCAAGCGCATTCAGGACTACTTGGTCGATATCACTGATGGCGGGTTGGACTTTACCTTTGACGCCACTGGCAATGTACATGTCATGCGTGCTGCATTAGAGTCGTGCCACAAGGGCTGGGGTGTGAGCACCATCATTGGTGTTGCTGCTGCTGGCCAGGAGATATCGACGCGTCCGTAAGTGGTCTGGCGTTTTTCACAGGGCTTCCGTGCTGAAGGTTTCTACAAAGGTTCCAACTGGTAATGATTCAGCTGAAGTAGATGGTCAGTTGTGACTTATGGATGGATGTATTCCAGGTTACTGGTCGCACATGGCGAGGTACCGCGTTTGGAGGAGTGAAGGGTCGCACTGAGCTTCCTGGTCTCGTCGAAGGTGACTCGATTTTCAGTACTTTCAATTCATACCCTCAACAATGTAATTTACCACAGACTACTTGCAAGGCAAGCTCAAGATCGACGAATACGTCACCCACCACCGCAAATTTGCGGAAATCAACGAGGGTTTCCACGACATGCACGTACGTATCACCCTCCTTTATCAACCCAACGGAAGTGTAACTTGACTTCTAGGGTGGTGACTGTATCCGCTGTGTCGTCGATATGACGGAGTAAAAGGATAGGACCAGTTGTGACCACGAATGATAGTCTTGAAACCTCGAATAACTGTTGAACACGAAGTGAAAATGTATCAGCAATTGTGAAGCTTAAATAGATTTTGGGGCGAAGTAAATAATTCTGGGCATCGAGGTATAAATGCAGCATTAATGACTACTCTTGAGCCACCCACGAGTGAAAAAAGTAAGCACTACACACCACTGATCATCCGTCTTCCCCTGTTCCTCCCAGACAAAGCAGCCCATAGTAATATAAGGGCTGCATTAACCTCCCTCCGTCTTGTAGCCGTTTTCTTCCACGTCAGTCTCAGCAACCCGAGAACTGCTAAAGAAAATGATATATCAAGTAACAGTCTCCGCACAATAGTGAGGACCGGAGACCGGTTCTCGCTTCGACCAAAAAATATAACCAGCTGTTTCAATGACAGTGCCATCCGTGACAATGGCTTCAGAACAAACGACCACATTCCCATATCATCCAAATCCCATTCGAGTTCTTCAGGACGGTTATCCGTCGGACTGCCTCTACCGGAAGAGCTTTTCAGGGGAAGCGAAGCGGTGGATCGTTGCGGATGCACCACCTGGGACTCGAGCATATCGAGCCGTTCTGTTATTGCGGCAAGGTGCGTCTGAAGGTTTTCGACGGCTTGCTCCAGGGGTAACCGTGAGGGTGTTCGTATAGGTGCTTCAGCGCCATGAGACCGACTCCCTCGGAGGGAGAGAGCCGACTGAATCTGCGGTGCAAACTCGGGCGACTGGTACGTCCCAGAATAGTGTCCTGGTGGAGGGTATACAGAAGAGGATGCTATTGGTGCTGATTGACTAACGAAGGCGGATTGCGTCTGGAATGTGGGCATTGGTTGCATCGGTGGAATATTTGCGAGCCCAGCAAGTGGTGGCAACATGGCATGTGAGCCCGTTGCAGGAGTACGATATCTTGAAGACATGGAAGAAAGTGGTCTTGGCTGTTGAACAGGCTCACGCACGGATGTGAGTTCGTGTGGTTCGTCGCCTGATTCACCGTTTTCAGAGCTCGAGCCACTGTCCTCCATAACTGCTAATTGTGTAGTATATTGGGCCTCTGGAAGGGTAGAGGAAAATAATTGACCGGGAATTCGATGAATATCGCTATCTGAGGCACTGGAGCTTGACGACCGGGAGTAGGACCGCGACCTCGGAAGAGAATCTAGGTGGAATATATCAATTTAGCACAGGGAAATTTTAGCGTTGGACATACGGCTCATCACGAGATTTGACGGGTCACCACCATAAGACTGGAGTTCATTCATGAGGTCACGAGCAACGGTCTTGTCCGAGTATTTACTTAAAACCTGTATTGAAATTAATCTCGGGCATCATGGAATTACCCAAGATCGTACCTTCAGTAAAGCATCCACGTAAAGCCATTTGGCTTCATATAGATCAAGATCCTTATGCTTTGCCCATGCGTCCCTGTAGTCCCCGTTAACATGTGATAACGCAAGAGTCGACGTGGACCAACCACTTTGCCCGGCCTAGCATATCCCACATGCCTGGACGACCGCCTTGGACATTTCCAAGAGTCGCTATGCATAGTGATATAAGTAAAGAGATGCTCTGAAATGTGATTGTGAGTCACCTTGCTTGTACAAGCTGATGTTAAAAGCCAGTAAGTAAATGTGAACTTGAAGATGTAAAGTCATGTAACACACCTGTACATCGTCAGTTTCTCCTCATAGCCAGTTTGTATGGGCCCAGTCTTTGGGAGGCCCTGCACTATCTCCACTGCCCGATGGAATTGCGCATTGATAAGTTCATGCGAATCCATAGTGAAACGAAAGGGGATGAACTTGTAAAAGATGTAGCGCGTACAAAGAATAGAGTGAAGAAGTGATAGTGAAATTATGAGTTGTGTCTGTTCAGTATGACAGTATGCCTGCAGCGTCACGGTGACGCAAACCGGCCTTATGCCAGCACTGCCTTGAGCGCTTCACTTGACATGTTGGTTTTCGGGATTCGCCGAATGCGCTCCAGGCCGCGGTAGCAGATGAAGCAAATAAAACGATTCCTTCTTTAACAGTCTGACTGGAAATATTATTATTAGGAACTAACATGGACCATTCAATATTTCAATGTTCAAGCTCAAGTCCGTCCCACCCAAGGCGAATGCAAGCCTGTAGTAGAGTCGCGAGCAGCGTTTCGCTTCATGGATAGTCACCATTTGATGAACAGAACGCCTCAGATCACTCTGGTGTCTGGACCAAGCATTCCCTTACTGGCATATTTCATGGTCAACATGAAGGAAACCGCTGATCATTCATGCGGGAGGTGGAGAAATCCTTACGCCGCTACATACTTGAAACCAGAATCCTTTTTATTTGGCACATTTATCTCAGTAGGATTAGAGGCAGAAATGTGGTCAATGGAGCCAAATGACTTGCACAAGGCTACTTGGGCCAGCGTGAAAGCGGCATTCCAAACAACTTGAAAGCAGCCAGGATTAGATATTTATACAGAAATTATTCCAAAAGCCTGCGCTGCAGTCTTGGATGCTGAATGAGCGTAAACTTTATAACGACGGATACTCTGGCGTACATGTGCATTGGCTTAAGATGAACCTGTTGACCATTTGTATTTCAATGAACCACTGATTCTCTCCTCCTGCCCACTAATTTGTTTGCCTGCATATGCCGGTGAATTTGTGTCTGCTTCTCCTGGGAGTGGAAGATACGAGCTCACCTCTCCAGTACAACTTCCCCCAAGCCTTTCCGTGGTTCCCCTCGAGCTTGAGCCGTGTCCGTGTTACTTGCCAGTAGCAGCTTCTTATACCTTTCTCCGTCCAACGGATCTGGTATACACGCTGGCCAACACCGCCTCCGGGTGCTCGAGAAAGTATCTGGTAAAGGTTTGCAGGTGTTGCTCGTAGAGATGGAGGAAGGGTACTCGGTAATAGGCCTTGAATAGCGCGAGCTGCTCGTTCCATGTTGACGCAACAGTTTGAGCAAACACTAATGGAAATTATTTATTATGTCCGATCTCCCATAAATTTCCCACGCTGTTCTGCCTCTTCACCATATGTTACTGCGTTCAGTCAGACAAGCAAGGCGCGTGTGGCGTCGTTCTCTGAATGTCCCTTTGCAATACTCGACGTCTCGAGCGACAGTTGAAACCGACAAGTATGGTATACCACTTACGCCCACCTGGTCCGTCCAGGAATTATTGTCTTCTTATCCAGCTCCGTCGATATCACCAGCCACATTCAAACGATTGCATGAGCTGTCTGCATTATTACCACCCGAAGAGGGTACACAGGAATATGTAAAGCTAAAGCACGAACTCGAGGAATTGATCAAGCTTGTGGAGGCCACGAAGCTGATCAAAGTAGAGGAAACGGGCAATGTAGGCATCCCAGACGGGCGGGTAATAGCAGAAGGGTCTGGGATACCGCTCGACAGAACACCACGCGAGAACGGAGATGTGAGAGGTCGGGATCTACTCTCATATGCGAGCCGTAGCGCGAATGGGATGTACGTCGTCGAGACAGATCGCTCTAGATGATTCACTCTTGGAGAGCACACAAGTTCTACAGTCGCGCCCCCAGTGATGATTTTGCACCATTAATGTATAATCAGGTGAGTACGACCTTAAAAGGGCCCACAAAGACGCTGACATATAGGAATCAGTAGACATCCACAATGCATTCACATTCAACATCACAAGCAGGACTAAACCAACTCGTAATGAGCATCAATCCCGTCGCAAAAAATTAGGCTCCCTTCTCGTGATAATATAAAGGCAGCATAGTTGATACAATATGTTACAGCGAGCCGTGCCCACCCGTAGAGCCGAACCCCCCTGCTCCACGTGGTGTTTCATCGAGGTTCTGCTGGATGATCAATCACATAACTAAGAACGTGAGTAAGCAAGACGCACTTCCACTTCCATAACATCAGGCGTATAAATGCGCTCGATGATTAATTGAGCTATCCGGTCGCCTTCTTCGACTACGCACCCGATTAGCAACACGCTAATTAGATTTACTCTTTTACGAACCTTGGAAGTCTTTGTCTGAGAGGTTGAAAAGCAGAACAAAGACGACACCTCTGTAGTCCGCGTCGATGACACCAGCACCCGTGTCAATCATGAATTTCGATGCTGAAAGAAAATTACTGGTCAAACACTACATAGCACACAGAACACGACCTACCAAGACCGCTGCGAGGTGCAACTCGCCCATAAGTGCCCGCAGGAACAGCAATGGAAAGCTGGGTGTCAACCAGCGCCTTGCCGTGCGCTGGAATCACTTTTTTCTCTGCGCTGTATTGTGTTTCCCGGTCAAACTACTATGTCTGTTTATTGAATGCGCGTCACCTGTATAAATCATACCCCGCAGCCAAATTCGATCCTCTAGTAGGAATCTTGGCCTTGTCAGAGAGTCTCTTAACTAGCAACTGCAGCGTGGGGGCAGACGCGTCATTGTCAGCGCTGTCGGACACAGACATCCTGCGTTTCTTGAGTTGCGGCGAGTCAATTCCCATAATGTTACTGATAATGTTGCAGTTGTACTTTATAAAAGAAAAGCGCGTGACGAGACGCGTCGGATGTATATTTCTGAGTTTTAAAAGCGTGTCAACTCCGCCCTTATTACCATCTTGGACCTTGGTCACGAGAACTACTGGCACGGTCCAACATTATGGACTTGTCGCAGCTAGAACTCCCCATCACATCTTACTTTGGGCGAAATAAGAAGGACAAGAGAGAGGCAGAACCAGCCAAGAAGAGAAAACTCTCGGCGGCTGCGGACGACAGGGGAGGTCCAGGAAAACGGGAAAGGCGGGCAGCAGTTTCTGCTGATGCGCGTAAGGGTCCTCGGGGCAGCGCCAAACAGACAAAGACAACTAAGAAGCAAATAAAGTTTCCTACTTCGAAGTCTCCGGTCGCATCGACCTCCAGCCGGAGAGAGAGAGCATCACCACCCGGACCATCTCACGATGTAGTGGTCATCGGCTCATCACCCGAGCGGCCGGTTGCAGGCAGCTCTCACTCAGTGAAGAGTACCTCAAACACTGTCTCCCATAGAATAAAGGCTCCTGTGCATCTTGCTAGTGCTCCGGAGCAGTCTCTAGCCACTCCTCCCCCAACAAACCAAACGAAGAAGCGAACGCTCACAGTAAGCACTGCGGTGGTTCAGCTCCTCTCTCCGAGGGCCACCCCCACTACGATTATTCCTGCCATTACATCTTTACCTACTCCAGAGACCAATGTGCGCAAACCCAGCAATATACATGCACCGTCCGGTTTGCGCACAGTCGTTGGTGCAACGTCGCCACGCAGAGCCAAGAATGGGTCCGACCCTCGTATACCATCAAGCCTCTCTCCAGGTTCTGCCCCGCTCATTAAGAAGCTCATTGTCCCAATAGATACCGACAGAGACGTCCAGTCAAGAAAACATGCGGATGGCTTCAATGGGACAAAGCAGGCAATAGATTCTGATGACCCATTTATCTGTGCGTCCAGAGACAACGAAGTGGTCCATGCAATACCTGCATCTTCTCCAGATTTACCATTTAAGAACTTGCACTCTGCTCCTGCTATAATTGAAGAACTTGTCCCGTCGTCGCAAAGTCAATACTTGCTTGCGTTAGATGCGACGCCTAGTCGCAAGCGGATAGCAAGACCTGCATCAATCAACTATGAGCCTATCCCAAGCTCACAGTCCCAGGAGGAGGGAGTGATGAGCATGTCATCTTTGTCCGGAAGCTTGCTGAATAAGTGGTCGCTGACAAGGTCAGCAACACATGTCCGTGTCATAATCCGTTACTTACCAGTAACTTTCAGAATCGAAGTCGATTTCCCAACACCGCATCCCATTGCACATGTTGCCCATAATAATCGCAGCGAGCGCAATCCACTGCACCAATTTACCCTTGGGTCGAGCCCTGCTACATCTCCCGTTGTTTCTCCGTCTAGAAGATTCTCTCATTCGTTTTTGGCAACCAAATCTCCAAGAAATAGATTCTCGTTCATTGCGTCGCCGTCTCGCAGCCCTTTGAAAGGGACTCCACGCCGCATTCTAGACAAGATCACGCCCCTCAATAAGCCCGTGGAGCACCCAGGGCCCGTTGAGGACGACTCTGTCACAGAGCCAGAGTCAGAACCAGAAGTACTCAAACCTGCTCAAGATGACGACTCCGAAACTGAGCCCGAATCGGTAATAGAGGTACTCAAACCTGCTCAAGATGATGACTCCGAAACCGAGCCAGAATCAGAACCGATTGTCAGACCCCCGACAGAGATCCCAAACCACAAATCGGAAGACGTGGCCCAGCAACCTCGAGCAATTGCATCTAGAACCTCCATCCCACATTCAAACCCATCCACCATACTTTCTCCCTATAGAAAGCGGCGTACATTCGATTCGTCGTGCACTTCCTCGCTGGACGATTTGATGCAACAGGGCGCTGGAATGAGTGTCCCAGCCTCACGCAGACCTTTCTTATTACCTTCAAAAACCCCACCGCCTGCGGCGAGAGATTTCCTCGAGATGTTCCAAGACGATGGAAGTTACCCTGATGATTTCCCGGAATCCCTGCGTTGTTAAAATTTAAGTCGAGTATTGGTTAGCAGAGCACAGAAGCAGTCGTTGGATTATTATGCGCATGGACGTTGGTTGAATAACTTATGCATTGGTATTATTGTCCGGCATACAAGTTCATTAGTCTACTAAGTCCATCGGGTCAAGCTAAACGTCAGACGCGATCGTAACAACGGAAGACCTTTCCTTCATGACAGTCGAAGCTTCGTCCTTGGCTGCTGGTGTAGTGAACGTGCTGGGTTGAAGAGTGACCTCTGAATCGGTAATGACAGGTAAACCCGAGCGTTCTCGTTGGATCGCATTCGCACTCCTCTCAGCCTGCTCGCGTGCATGACCTTCATCGTCCATGACCTTGTCGCCGAATACCTCGCCAAGGTCTTCCAGGGTGTGGTGGGCAGTTTCAGGATAGATGAACCAGACGACGATAACAGAGATGATACAAAAGCCGACGAGGACGAAATAGTAGCCTGCATTGATAGCGTTGAAAAGCGGGGGAGTGATGAAGGCGATAATGAAGTTGAAAAGCCAGTTGGTGCCCGTGCTGAGAGACATGCCCTTGGCGCGAGCACGGAGAGGAAATATTTCGGCACCGAGGAGCCAGGGGCCGGGGCCCCAGGTGGCACCGAAGAAGAATAAGTATAGACAAACACCTAGTGGGGATGAGCTCCAGTGCATATTTTGCCTGCAAGTAAAATAATGACATACCAAAGAAGATAGCGTCAGCAGCAGAAACTCGGGCAGATCCCAGAGGAAGACTGTCTGCGTAGTATTGGAGACCACCGACAATAGAAAGGGATGCGGCCAGCGCAAGACTTCCAAAAAGCAAGAACGCCCGGCGTCCAAATTTGTCGATCAAAAACATTGCAGGAATGGTTCCGGAACAGTAGACCAGAGCACAAGCACCAGAGTAGAGCAGGGAGCGGGAAATTGTGAAGCCGGCACGAGTGAGGTTGGATGGTAAGAAATACAAGATGGCATTGATCCCGTTGAGCTGAGCAAACATCTGGCAGGTGATGCCGACGACGCATCGACGAGTGTATTGCGTGAAGAGTTGACGCCAGGAAGCTTGACCCATGTGTGCTTCGAACTCAACAGCGGCGACAATCTCAGCGTAGGTAGCCAGAATTTTGGGGTCTGAGACATTTCCAGCGCCGTGTAAGTCTGCGAGAGTTATCAAAGCCTCCTTCTGGAAGCCATTCTGGGCCAGCCAGCGGGGTGTTTCGGGAAGGAAAAACGTCCAGAAGATGAGAATCAGTGCAATAGCAGCCTGTACGATGTATGGGCCACGCCATGAGATCTCGGAAGGCATGGCGAAGAAGAAGCCATATCCGACCCAAGCGGAAACAGCGTAACCGATATTGAGGCAGATATATTCGATACTGACAAACAAACCGCGGGCATGAGCAGGGGCGATTTCGCACTGCAAAATCGGGACAGTCATGGAGAGTATGCCGACACCTAAACCCTGGATACATCGGCCAGCGATAAGGGTGCCGAGGTTTGGAGCAAAGACCTGAATGAGAGCGGCAATGAAATACATGACACCTCCGATACGGACAGACATCCGCCTGCCAAGAAGGTCACAGAGGTAGGCAGCAATGAATGAAGCCAGCAGCGCTGTTAGGTTTAAACAAGCAACGGTTATAGCTAACAACAGGGTTGTTTGAGTGACATGAGGATGAAAAAAAGACGAGTCAAACCTTGTATGAAAGGGTCCACGCCGGTCTGGCCGGCTTGGATTTGCGCCATAGTAACTTCCTTGCCAAACATTCGATGGATAAAAGAGGGCTGAACCTGAGCCGCTGCGATACTTCCTTGGCCATAGCCAAACATAGCGTCCCCGAGAGATGCAAGGGCGGATGACATATAGAGTAAAGGCCTCCCGACCATCCATTGTGGATAACGAGCAGAATAGGTCTTAGGACGAAAGAACATAGTAAGTATCGTTGTCGAAATGAAGCAAGAGTGAATAATTGTAGCGGAAAGGCAACCTGCACCTGTGGGATAGAAAGTGAATGAGAGACCAGCTAACTAGTCGAGGGGTTTTATATGAGCCAGGCTGATTGGAAACATGATGACGCACTGGACTCGGATGTCTCAGACTGGTCACTGACATCCAACCCAACTACAAAGGTAGAAAATGTTGATAGCTAAATGAGCTAATATCGACGCCAAAGAACGCTGGGGATTTGAATCCAAGCCATGACTGAAGGCTGCGACCAGTACGGTAGTACTAGGGCCGAGTTGAATCAATCACAAGCTATAAATAGTCACCTAAAGCCGTATGTCAGGTTTCTTGTTTCCATTCGACACACTTCCTCCCAGCTGAAGTTGAAAATTTTCAAAGGACTCCATGTTTCTGACGATGAAGTTCTTGGCAGAGTTCACCTGCTGCTTCACACCAGCGACGAATAAAAGAGCAATGGACTACGGACGACGAGAACGCGCCACCAATGTGGTCCCTTGTCACTAGCGAAGGGCTCGTCAAACAAATTCTGGATACCCAGGAAAATGGGAAGGTGGCTAAGATCTTCATGGGACAGGTCACAGGAGGATCACGCTACCGAACCAGAAATCTTGAAAATCGCTCAGGTGCACAATACTGTCAAAACTATGATATTCCTGAGTTGCTTTGACACAACAAGTCCACCAATCCAACATGAATTCCACGATCCCACGTCCGCCGTCTGAAAAGCGTTTGGCGTTCCAGAACCCACCACGGGCAGTCGTGTGCTCTACATCCTCCACCCCATCACGACGCTACATGGCAAAGACCTTTTCGACGTGTGGCTTCAAAGTACGTGTTTCATCACATCTATGTGGCTCTTCGTCGACATCGTGTGCAGGCCACGTCACTCTGGAAGGCAGAGGTCTATTATCGAGATGTTAGCCCTGGAGACATGAGGCAAATGACCTGGGTCCTCGGGGCAACGAACACACGGGTACGATGCGGGCGGCGCGCCCCACCCCCGCCGTCCATGGCACTCGAGCTTCTCAACCAAGAGGGTCAACGAGGCGAAGCCGAGCACCTATATGGCTGTGATATGGAATTGTTTGTGTGGTGTTTCGCCTGGATTTGCTTGCGTTACGAGGCGGGTGTTATTCTACCAGCGAAATTGTGCCCTTTCAATGGATAGGCGACTTCAGATAATCTGTGAAGAAGTACTATTTCCTAGGTCATTTTTCAAAAGTTGAACCCTCGAACACAGACCAAAACATATAGGATCTCCTCTGGCTCTGTTTTGCGGTGCTAGACACAGACACTTTTAATCGCTAGAGTCATTCTCTCAGTATGTAACAACCATACGCTGGTGAAATAGAATCAGTATCAGATTTCAATTATTCTCTAGGCAAATTCACAAAAACAAAGTGCTAGGCTAAGCTCAGCAACGTTCTCACAGTACTAGTGGTTTTCTTTGCTTGTTCCGCTATAGAAGAACTTCCTTTCGGTGGGTTGTTTTCAAACAAATATCGCCTTTCGTGATTCACTCATGGACATGTGTCGGTTGGGATGATGACTGCAGTCTCCAGTAGCTATAAATAGGCACCTAATCTTATACTTGATCCGTCTATCCATGATCAGCAGCTTGTTACTATAAACAACAACGATTTCATCTTGAACCACAATCACGACTTATCAAACCTGGTCATGTCCCAACGCCTTGCGAACAAAGTAATGTAGATAGATACCTTGCAATGGGGCATACTGCTGATAGAAATTTCGATTGCAGGTTACCCTCATCACCGGAGCCGGCTCGTGAGTCTGCTCGAACAGATCGCGTTTTCTGATCTGAAGGGTATCACAGTGGCATCGGTCTTGAATCGTCCCTTCTCTTCGCTCAGGAAGGCGCCAATGTTTTGTTGGTAGACATCAACATAGCAGCTGCGCAGAAAGGTGCTGCGCTTATCCGGCAACGCTTCCCAAACGTCAAAGCGCTGGCCCTTCACGCTGATGTCGGGAAGGAAGATGACATCAAAGGAGCGGTCGATCTTGCTGTTGCAGAATTTGGTAGATTGGACGTGATGGTACGATTCATATCATGTGATCATCCGCACGATGTTTCAACGAATCCCAATAAATCTACAGTTCAACAATGCAGGCATCATGCACCCAGAAGACGATCATGCCCTCAATACCGAGGAGAAGATCTGGGATCTGACAATGCAAATCAACGTGAAGGGTGTCTGGTGGGGCTGCAAGTATGCTATCATGGCTATGCGGCAAAATCCTGTCGACGAAGATAAAGGCCTCCGTGTCGGTGGTTCTATCATCAACACTGCGAGCTTTGTCGCACTCATGGGCGCCGCCACACCACAGTTAGCATGTACGTTAACACACCACATTTTAAAAAAGACGATTCACTGTGTTCTTCAGATACTGCGTCCAAGGTAAGTATAATAGTCGTTCGCTGAGGTACGTTAGCTTGAAAGAACACCAGGGTGCTGTGTTGTCCATGACACGAGAGCTCGCAATGGTGCATGCGAGAGAAGGAATTCGGCTGAACTCCCTATGCCCGTAAGTTGAAGTGAAACTTGCATTGCTATGTGCTGACCTTAATGCTGACAGCGGCCCGCTGAAGACGCGTCAGTGCATAATAACGACACAAAAATCAATGTTGCTGACGTATCATGTCTTGAAGCTCTTTTGATGGATTTCCTCAACACGTCGGAAAAGAAAGAGCGCCGGCTTGTTCATCTCCCTATGGGTCGGTTCGGTGAGGCCGTGGAACTCGCCAAGGCTGCATTGTTCTGTACGTTTTTGCTTGGGTATCACTATCTGGTTGATCTGATTTCACCGTCGCATACGCAGTGGCGAGCGATGACAGCAGTTATATGACTGTACGTTCCTTTCCAATTAGTGTGAGATTTCTTTTCAATGCCACGTCAATAGGGCACAGATTTCAAGGTCGACGGAGGCCTTACCTCGTGCTATGTTACCCCTGTCGGAGAACCAACCCTCCAGCCTCCCGCCAGTCTCATTTGAAGGTGAATTAACTGCAATAAACATACAACCTGACAGTGGAAACCGGGTCCATTATTAATTGAAAGAGATGAAAATGACCCAAGTTGTTATATGATACAAGACGATGGTGAACTATAAACAGCCCAGAACCTCCACAGGCCAGGAATAAAAGAATCGATGAGGTCTGGCAAAGCAGGAGAATAAACAAATACGGAAAGTCTAAGATGATAGATATGCGACTAGGATCCCGTCATCGATCAAATTAACTGGCCTTCTTTTTTGCAAGGCGTCTCTTATCGCCTTGTGCTTTTCTCATCTTGGCGATCTCAATGCCTATATCGTTTTGCAGCTGCTTGTGTAGGGCGGGACGATATCCAAGCATGAACATCAATTCCAAGTGCACAAAGAACGGAGCGAGTACAAGGGCTAGAAAGGATTGTTAGCAGCCAAGATACGAATTAAATACGTGGTTGATGAACCTACCACCGACAATGTTGTCTAGAAGGGCTGGAGCACGACCCTCGGCAAGTCCATGTCCGAGGAACTGTGCAATCCATGAAATGACTTGAACAATGATTGCGTCTCGAATGCCATCAGGACGGTGCGCGTGAGCTGTTGCTGTCAACAATAACAATACTATTTGCGGCGCGTACAACAACTGGGACTGGTGTCAGATGGCGCTACAGATGGGACCCATGGCGTGAGAGACTGACCGCAGCAAACGGTTCAAGGATGATGTAGTATCCAAGATATATGGCAGCGACCACCGCGGACGTATTCAAATCGAACGATAGGTACTCATTGAACGTATAGCGAAACACGGGCAAGAATGCGGGAGTTTGGATACGAGTAGCCAACAACAGTGAACTCCTAGATCGGACCAATGTGGTACATAATCCGTACTGCGCGTAGTGAGAAGATGACGCACCACAGAATAGCTGGGACCCCGAATATGTGAACGAGGATGTTGATTGGATTGGAATGATAGGAACCGTAGAAGGTAAGCTGTTAAGACGAACGTCACGTAGAAAGTCGACGGGATTCACATTTGGCACGCACCTGTTTGCGAACGTCGAACAAGGAGAGTGTCATGATGATGGTGGTTGTCAACAGGTACTGATTTAAAACTAAATGCCGACCCCTGGAACATGTTTAGATAAAACGCTCACGAGTAACGCGGACAAATCATATTCCAACGGAACGCAACCCTGCCGGCGGCAGACACCGAACGAGATGCAAATGACAACTTCCTCGAACTTTTTCCAATGTGATACCTGCCCGACTTTCTGTGAGTGACAAGAGATTCACCTTCACCGGCCGGTCAATCGAACTGACAGAATTCAAGAAGGCTTTGAGGAATTTGGCTCATTGAGCTTATTGCCCGAGGTTTCCTCTTTCGGATGTCGACCAATTTACCGCCGGTCACGTGCTTCTACCATCTCCGCAATTACTTCCACTTGAGCCACGACAACATCATCTCCCACCATGGTCCGCTCAACAATAATAGTTCGCGCAACAGATGCTTTGCCAATGGCAGCAAGCGTGGATGATGAACAGGTTAGATTCTTCAACATCTTCATTACTGAGGAGGCTCATTTACCCTAATAGACCGAGCAGGCTCTTCAGGAGCACAAGCAACAGTCGAAACTAATTTTTCGACGCATTACTCCCAACTCGGAACCGCGGTGTTCCATCGAAAGTGGGCAGTACACGCTTCAGTGAGTGTCCGTTCTTATTTCGATCAGGCTCCGCATACTAAGCCGCCGGCTGGTATAGCTACCTCCTCGCGGATAATGTTGTGTACCTCACCATTGCGGACAAATCTTACCCGCGGAAACTTGCCTTCTCGTATCTAGAAGAACTTTCAAAGGAGTTCTCCGTATCTTACGGACCCAAAGTAGAGTCTGTGCGGAAACCTTATGCCTTTGTCGGGTTTGGTGCGCGATTTTACTGCACCAATTGTTGCCGAGGACTAATTCGTGCTGCATTCAGATACCTTCATGTCAAAAACAGCACGGTTATATCAGGATACACGCGCGGCTGATACAGCTGGATCATCAAACCTGGACAACTTAAACAATGAATTGCAAGATGTCACTCGAATTATGACCAAGAACATGGAAGAGCTGTTGTGGAGGGGGGACTCGTTAGACAGTGAGTGTGGAGATTCTATGTGCTCTTCTTTCATGCTTCGACACCTTACAGGAATGTCGCATCTGTCAACTTCTCTGCGTTCTGAATCGGAAAAGTACCGCAAGGCAGCAAGAAACATAAATATCCAGGCGCTCATACGACAATATGCACCATTTGGTGCTGTGGCACTTATTCTTATCATCATGTTGTGGTGGCGGTTCTCATGAACTACATTCGGACTCCTTCTGCGAAGAGTTGGACATCTTTCACCCGGGCAAAGTAATCTATTACCTTTTGCAAGATCTTTGTAATATTGTCTTCCATTGGACCAGTATGTCATGTTTTCTGTTGCCATCTGAATCTGGAATCTACAGCAAGTGGCGTCTCCTCGCCCCTTCGCAGTGCTGGTCAAGTACAATATTAGAACGGGTCATAATTGATATTGACGTCAAATCGCACGATCTCCTCGTTCGTACCCTTCCTTACCGACAGTAATATTCTGACATAGGCTGCTGAAAGTCTCGAATAGTCTCGATGAATCACATCATGCTGCTTATCTCCCTCTGAAGGATATCGTCTCGTTTGTTATGTCGCAAAGCGACTGAATATTCTACAAGTGTGAATGTTTTTGGGAGCAATGTTCAATCCACATGGCAATAATCGACATCTCCGTTGTAGGGAAATTAATGGCACATTGTCATTTTTTCGGCGGAGATACGTGATAGTCAGAAGCATCACGGGCTTTCAGCTTTCCGCAAGACTAATCGTTTGACCACATGGAACTTAATTCGGCGCGACAGCTGGTTGTTTGCTTTCATTTACAGCAATAAATTGAACAAAATCTCGACATGACCACAAAGAAGCTTGGACGCCAAAATCAATGGATGTGAGTTCTTCCAAAAAATGGAGGTACTCACGGCGCCCCTGCACAGTCACAGTCTACGGAAAAGGAAGTCAAGTGCTTCCTAGGAGCCGCGTTTCCAGGCAAACTCGCAGTCATGGGTGCATCGCTTAATCATTCCGGGAAGTCCACCACTATATTCAGAGTATCGTGAAGAGCTGTATGATATTACCGAATGGTGCTATCCGCTTACCGGCCACTTCCTCTCGCAGCTGGAGTGTCAGAAGTTTGAAAGGGAGAATCGTTGGCGTACCCCGATGCTCGAGAGTCCCATCTCGTGAAGCATGCGTTAATACCGCAGTTTCTGAGACCCAACTCCACCGCGTACTAGACTCAGCTACCGAAAGACCACAGCTGGCATTCAGTTTGTAGGGAGAAGTAATACGGTAAGAGTAAATTATTGCCTACAAACTTGCGTCAACGATTGACACCTTGTGTAACTTGCAGTGAATATACCATGCTTGGTTCATGTATCATCAACTCAGGGCAGCTTGCGAAGGATCTGCTCGAATAGCGCAGTAACTATACCCCGAATTACTTCCGCGGAACCGACTGTTACATTTCATAGATGATGGAAGAACTTCCTTGTTTTGTCGAAATATGGCAACAGGTTTAAGCGTACCGCCTAAAAATTCGCCGTACTGTTGGCACTAGGCGAACATCGTGCACCCATCGATGCCAAGGTGTGCCATTTCCTAAAGGGATATTACTCAAAGAATTCCGTGATCATAAACATCTGTTAGCAGAGCGGACCGTGCACAAAATACAACTATTGCCGAGGACGAGGACGAGAGCATTTATCACAAGACTTTCAACACTCCGAACACTTCATTTGACACATGTAGTGGGCTCATCATGTATGTCTGTGCGTGTTTATACTTTTTTCAACATTAGGCAACGGTGCTGACGGCTTGTGACTTGTGAGGCACCTTCGTTGTTGGTACCTGAAAGCGTCATTCCAACAGTTTTTCGTCAGAAATGGTCGACGACCTGTCTGATGCTGAGAAAGTAACGCTACCTCACGGTATTGTTTCTCGATCTTTCACTGCATCTGATTGCTTGAGGGGAAGGCGCTGAGAGAGGCACAGGTCATCGTGAGGTGGGTTGCCCAGACGCCATGTGATTTCTTAATTGAAATCTGAATGACGTTTGTATACCGGAGGCTGATAGTGTGAGCTGTCTTTACGATGCGATGGCAGAGAAACTGATCTCCGTAGACCATTGTTTCTTCCTAGTTATAAGGCTTGGTCACCGAAGCTTGACAAAAAGCACAGGCTACCCACGACCTGACCGAGGGGAATCTCTGATTGCACCTATAAATGAAGTGCTTTGATGGTTCGCCGTGGTATTGAGAAGCAGGCCATCAATCCATCAAAGTCCAAGCAATGACATACATGATTTACCCTCAGAAGACGTTTATGAGCCCACCAGGGATACTTCATTCCCAAAGGAGTGCTAACGGTGACCACTTGTACCTCTAGTATCATAAATCATTAATGATGGCCAGGTAGATTTATGCAGATCCTGACGTATACTCCCCGATTCGTCGCTTCAATACCTAGTCAAACCAGACCCTAGCAATGTTGCATCTAGCTCTTGGAGACGAATTCAAAAGAGGAACCAATCTTACTGGAGCTTCGTCACATAAAATGATGACATCTTGGTACGTCGGAAGCACCTGATCCAGTCTATCATCACATATTATGTATATACGCACTTATGGGTTTCATTCTGGCAGACTTTGCTTCTTGTTTGGGCCATGATCAGATTGATAGTTCAACGCGACGAAATCGCCCTTTCATTTGCGCTCGAGAATGCAGGTCGGCCGGAGATTAGGTAAGTCAACCAAATTATGATGTTTCCCTCCATCATGCATCAGTTGCCACACGAGATCATTGATATATCATATCGAGCATGAGCTAACTATAGTTGCCATGATTGCGCGGCTACTTGAACTTTGAAATCTGAAGTCAAGTTTTTGTTATACCACATCTCTCCTTGGAGATGGATAAGCATATATCATCTAGTGGTAGTACAGACTGTTAGAAGTACGTTCAAGATGAATTTCTGTGCTCCGTAGGTCCCAGGTAAGTTGAGAGCCAAATGATCTTGATAAAGGTACTGAACCCACCCGGCATGCGTTCGTTCCGCCAGCCGATCAGATATCAAGTACCTACTATCGGTCACGTTCTATTTGTCACCGATAGTAGCAAAATCAGCGCTGAAAACTCGGCCATCGCCAGCAATTGTCTCGATATGGCCTAACACGAGGCAGGGTAGGGCTGCAGGGTCAATTTATTAGATGAAGGGCAACAATTCCCTCTTATCAGTGCGATTCCCTTCTCTCCCAGCTTCTCTCATCTTCACCAGAGTGTACAATGAACGGAACAGGAGGGTTTTCTCCACCTCAGCAGCAACCCCAGCAGCAGCCCCAGCCATATTCTCCCCCGTCTGGTGGCCAGATCGCGCCCGGATCTATCACCTACACGACATCCACTAGTGCGGATGGTCAGGTTACATATCATCCTTTCAGGTATGATCGGCATCTGTCTCACAAACTAGCTTTATCGTAACCTATCGATGTTGCAGAGCGGTGCCTGCAAGGCAAGTGGTTGTGATGTTGACGAGATCGCACCGCCTGATCAGATTATGATGTGCAGCTATCAGACACCCCAAGGTGTTGTGCATGGCATTCAATGGGTCCCTGCCGAAGCCACGCAGATCTTGCCAACAGGTGCTCAACCTGCCAATGCAGTGAGTCCTCAGATCGCTTGAGTTTTGCTCATGACCATTGATTGAACACGCGAATCAGGAATTCGCTGCATCCTTTAATCGCGGCCAGCTCAGCAGGGAAGAAGAGAGGGAGCTTGAAAAGTGGTACGGTTCGTTCGATGTAATGCTGCTTCAGACTCTAAACCTTTTTTCAGGAAACGGTCTGAGGAGAAGCGCAAAAAAAAAGAAGAGAAGGCATCCCTCAAGAACATCGCGAAACAAATTGAAAGGGATGAAATAGATATCCGCATGGCGCGCGAGAGGGATACTCAAGTCAGAGGACGGAAAAAGAGCTTCTACGGAGAAGCACCTCCCTCTGGATACTCCATTCCGGGGACCGCTGCATACGGCACCTACAGCAGTGCCGATCTTGACCGCAGATTCGACAGTCTCGACATAGAGCGCAAGGAGGTTTCCTTCGCTGCAAGGCCCAGAAAGCTTTCTCAGAGTGGTGCAGGGGCATACTCTTCCCCTCCCGCCACATACAGTAGCCCAACAGGCTATCCTACAACTGGAGGAGCTGGTCCTTACAACCGTGCAGCCTCTCCTTACAGACCTGTAGGTAATTTCTCCACTTCACCAAATATAAGGCCGCAAGAATTCCCTTCCACGTACCCTGGTGGACCAGATCCTATGGTGAGGGCGCCATCTCCGTATGGTGCCCGAGCGCCTTCTCCTTATGGGGCCCGAGCGCCTTCTCCTTATGGGGCCCGAGCGCCTTCTCCTTATGGGGCCGCAGCACCCGGTCCCAGGGCGCCCTCTCCTTTTGGTGCCACAGCGCCCACTCCTTACGGTGCCAGAGCGCCCTCTCCATATGGCGCCAGAGCACCCTCTCCTTATGGGGGACCAGGACCCTCTCCTTATGGTGCTCGAGCGCCTTCTCCAATGCCGCCGGTGCCCCGTGCTACTTCTCCAATGCCGCCGGGGCCACCCCGTGCACCTTCTCCATACGGACGCCCTGTGTCCCGGGCACCATCCCCATACCATGGTCAACAGGCATCGACCTATCCTCCTCCTCACCGCGCTCCTTCACCATTTGTCCCCCCTGGGCAAATCCAATCAGTATACCCCCGTGGGCATGTCCTTGAAGGCCAGCCCATCGGGGGCCCCCGGTCGCGAGCACCTTCTCCAATGCCCGGTGCGCCTGCTGGACCTGGATTCTCTTCATCCCCACGTATGCCCAATGTAGGATTCTCCTCATCTCCCCGTATGCCCAACGCAGGATTCCCGTCATCCCCCCGTATGCCCAACGCAGGATTCTCTTCATCTCCCCGTATGCCTAACGCAGGATTCCCTTCATCCCCTCGCATGCCCGGCGCTGCAACCGGAGGAGATTCGTTACAACTCGCTGCTCCGGAGGCATTCTCCCGTCCACCTAATGCCGCTCAACCTTACACTCCGTTTAGCGTAATGAGGATCCAAGAGATGGACAAATTCTACGATCAGATCCCTCGCATGCCACTTGTGCTCGACACTCATGACGTTTACCACCAGGACTGGATCAGATTCATGAATGTACGTGGTGACAGACTTATTCATTGGCTTATCAGCTCACTTTTACTTCAGGATCTTGCTCTTGCGTGGGCCGGCAAGATGCCCATTCATGAATTCTCCAAGGGGGGAGTTCCTCCCAAGCGGACCTCACTTGTTGCAGATTTGATCAATCTGTGGAACGATTCATTCTTCCGCGCCCGTCGCGTTGAGGTGGTCCTCTACAAAGGCCGCGAGCGACGCTCAGGTCCACACACGGGGACTTTGGACAAAAACCTTCCAATGCCTGACCTCGACTTTGATTCTGATTCTGATTCGTCAGAATCTTCTTCTCTCTCTTCGGAGTCTGAGGACGAGTACTACGGTCGCGGCGTTGATCTCGCTGAATCCAAGAGAAGGCGCCGAGAGAAGAAGGAGGAAAAGAAGTGGCGCAAGAAGGAAAAGAAGATCAGGAAAAAGGCCAAGGAACGCGAGAGGCAGTACGCGTTGTACTTGAACTACATCGCGCCTCGCGACATGCCTGTTCCAGGAAATTCTTACTATGGTTGATAGAACATGCAGTGCATGAATCCAGTAACGTCGAATTTGTTGATACTTGAACTTCTCATTGTCATTGTACTACTACGGACTGCGAATCGATTTGTTACCGGTTGGGGTAAATTGTGCAAGGTCACAGGTCCCGGGCAGTGACATAGATAAGGAACAGGGTTCCGAGAACTCAAGCTTGGACTGTCAAGAGTCTTCTAAAGTCCTATTCCACTAAAGCAGGTGACCCAGCCGGAGACTGCCCGCAAACCCACGATAACATCGTGGTTAGATTGTCACAAAGATAAAGGAAGATACGATAGAAAATCAATGACAAGACACCGAACACAAGACCTACAGGCCTACAAGTAGGTCGTGGTGATCTTGTAGTATTGCATTCTTTGCACCATCTTTATCATCACTTGAAGCATTTTATACTCGCCCGAGGTAAGCCGAATGCTTTTTCGGACAATTGAGACGCTAAACTCACCTGATGATCTGTAGCCGCTGGACCTAGAAACCTCTAACAAACATCAGGCCAGCTGCGGAACATCTCTTGACGTTCACGCAGGTGAGTGGTAGCACGTATGGTATGTATCATCAAAATGCTGTCGTATCATGATTCATTTTGTGGCCCTTCCAGGCATTCGCCATGAGTGATGTCGCAGGAAGACTCCTCGAGGAGTTCGATCAATATGTGATGAACCACATCCCGATCCGCTTCATACGCCTATCAGACATGACATTTGTGGGGCGTGATGATATAAGGAAGCACTTTCGGAGCTTTGTCCCTCAAACGAATCTTTTTGGGATCTATAAGCCCTCCCGAGTTGTCAGATACGCCATTCTATCTCACCGATGGTTGGATTCGGGAGAGCCAACGTACGAAGAGATGAAGGCGGGCACAGCAACGGGTCCTGGATACAAGAAGCTGAAGAACTTCTGTGAACAGGCCAGGAAGCAAAACGTGGAATTTGCATGGTCGGATACCTGCTGTATCGACAAAGGCAGCAGTACCGAGCTGGACGAGTCCATTCGCTCCATGTTCCGGTGGTATCGTAATTCTGCTATTTGCATCGTCCATTTAGCGAAAAGCACGACCATCGAGGATATATTGCGAGATGAATGGACGGAAAGGGGCTGGACATTGCAGGAACTCCTTGCACCCTTCCATATCAAATTCTTCAATAAGCACTGGATGCCTATGACGAATGATTCAAATGACAAACAAAAAGAAGCTACCACCGAAATACTGCAGACTCTGGAGAAGGCCACTGGCATTCCTCATAATGAGATCTACTGGCAGTTCAATCCAGGTCCGTTCAAGGTGGATGAGCGGATGGTGTGGGCAGCCAGACGCAAAACAACGAGGGTTGAAGATGTAGCGTATTCTCTGATGGGTATATTCGACGTCAGCCTGCAAATCGCATATGGAGAAGGAGGAGACCGCGCATTCTGCAGGCTCATCGAAGCCATCATGCAGGCTGGTGACCCTTCTGTCCTCAATTGGAAGGGCACCGCTGCAAAACACCACACTTCAGATGCTATTCCTCGATCGCCAAGGAGCTTCCTGGACCGTCGAGAGTTGAAGTTGGCTAGTGGCGGGCGACTGGAGATGACTATGACCGGTCTCGGCTTGCGAATGCCTCTGGTGATACTCCCTCTCAATCTTCCTTCGGCAAAAGCCACTGGAAAAGGGCGTGCCTGCATCACATTCGACTGCTTGTTGTATCCCAACGTCAAGATCGACATCAATGTCGACAACTCGTCGGATCACGGCCAGTATCGATATGCGCTTGGGATCATCAACTACTCACTTGTCAAGGATGGATCACTGCGTGAGGTGGTGGAGATGCAGGGCAAGTCAGCCGGAATCCCCCTTAAATGCCGGCCGATAGATCTATTCAGCTCATCCACCTCTGTGCCCAGAACAACCGGCGTTGTTGGGTTCGGGTTTGGGTTCGAGAACTTGGATCAGAAATTTGGTCCATGGAAGAAGATACTTGATGAGGGTTTGATTGAGGTCAATTTTCCAATCACACCGCGTTTCTACATTGGACGTAAATACCTAGAAATTGTCTACTTGTAGCACTGGCCTTCAACTTGTCAAGTCTCGTGTCCGAAATTCCCACAAATTAGCTGTCGCGTTCACAGTTCCTCCCGATTGGCGGTCGATTCGGGTGAAAATTTGAGGTCCAGAGAGCCTGAGAGAGGTGCCGAAGAAATGTGTTCGTCGAGTATCTACTACACGTAGAAGTGACAGTTGTAGTCAGAATGAACAGGAGTGACTGCCGGATTAAGCACGGCGAGTCGAGCACGTTGCCAGAACTATTGCCATGAAAGCAAAGCCGAGCGGAGCTGAGACTGTCAATTTCCGCCAGGCCCTCCTCCGCTTTTGGAAGCGCTTAAGTAAGCCTGTTCGGGCAGAAATGGAATGTAGACTTACGTTCCTTCACTTGGCTGCAGGTCCCGGTCCGCATATGTGACGGCATCCGTCACCCTCGCCGTTGTAATTATGTAACTACATACCTCAAGCTCATCCAGGATGGCCTGTGGTGTTATTCCTTGTTCGACCCGATCCAACTCGTCAAAATTACAAGCATCTCCCTCCAGCACTTCAACTTCGTTAGTGGTCTGAATTTCCCCAGTCATCTTCGACTCTTCGAGAGCCGCAAATTCGGCAGCGTTAATGACTCATCAGGCGAGATACTCTCTGGATCAGCAAGAAGGTCACATCTGCATCACGAGGCTCGGTCGAGAGCGAGGTACACATGCGAAGGATGCTTCAAGATCCCGTGCAGTCTCGACAGCAATGCCAACCTCCTTCACGAATGTGTATGTGAGTATGTCAACGGCAGGTGCACTTCCCAACCTCTACGGTTTGTATGCAGGTTTGAAGCTTTGCGTCATTTGATGGGAACAGCGGCGGCACTGGCAGTAATAGAACTTCCAGAAGCAGATTGAGAAGCAGCCGAAGTAAGACTTGAATCAGCGGGGTTCAAAACAAATAGGGTCCACCACGGTCGCCAGTCTTTCCCGGACTGCATGTGCTAACAGTCATCACGATATGCCGACTATTTAGACACGATTATGGGAGTAGCAGCTCCAGGACGCTCAAGTTGGTGTGGGACGACGGTTGTCGCTCTCAACATATGCACGGTAAGGGACCTCGCCCATTCTGTCGTTATCCACGTGTACTAGTGGTATTCCAAGTGACATTGTCCCTTAGATAAAACAGCTATCTTCATTTGTTCAAGGTTTACCCAGGAAGACTAGGGATATTTCGGGTCTATTGCTATCAGTGTAAGGCCATGCAAACCAAGCCGGCTCGTGCCGTTTTGACGCGCGTTGATTCTGATGGGCCAACTATCGGGAAGACCTACCCTGAGGCTTGCAGGTGCAATATTTGCCGCCCAGGCATTTAAAGCGACGATCACGTCTTATCACTGCATATCTTCCCTCTGACCAGCTTCCATCATCAACAAGGCGCACAATGAATGGAGTGGGAGGATTCAGAATCCCCGAGCCGCAAGCCCAGCCGTACCCGCCCACGCAAGCATCTCATTCTCACATCGCACATCATTGGGCTGTGAACAGCCGGATTGAACCTGGAACGATCACCTACACGACGACCACTAATGCAGACGGTCAGGTTACAAATTATCCTTTCAGGTATGAACGTGTATCTGACAGTCGGTGCTAAACTCACTTCATCTTGATCTTTTGAACTTGCAGGGCGGTGCCTGTGAGGCAAGTGGTTTACGAATCAATGTTGACAAGATCTGCCTGATCTAATCATGATGTACAGCTATCAGACCTCCCAAGGAATCGTGCATGATCTCCAATGGGTCCCTGCCGACACCACACAGGTCATGCTAACAGACGCTCAGCTCCCCAATACAGTGAGTCCTCAGATCACCAGAGTGTTGTCCCATGACTATTGAGTACTGAGCATGCGGATCAGGGACTTGCGGCAGGGTCCTTTGGTCTCGATCTTTTGGATAGGGAAGATGATGTGGTGTTTAAGAAGTGGTTCGAACGTGCGTCTTATATACCTCTGGGTGCTAGCTCGATGTCGCTAATTGGAAGGCCGAAAGAAATCCCCCATTTCACTTCTCCTGGTAGACCTGATCCCATCTCAATGGCAGCATACTTGTCTTTCTCCCGAGGGCGCTCTCCTTATAGTGCTCGTGCATCCTTTCCAATGCCGTTGCCAAAACGCTTCCCAAAGTCATGCCCTCCCTCCCGCGCGCCGTCCCCATACCAACGTCGTCAGCAGTCGAGATCACCCCATCCTTCCCACCGCACTCCTTCACTTGATGTTCGCACTCACCCCCGTGGGCCATCCCCAGACCAGAATCGTCGGCAGTCGAGGTCACACTATCCTTCTCTCCACCGCACCTCTCCACCTCATGTCCCCTCTCCGTATGTTGAATACCCGCACGGGCATGCATTGGAGGGTCAGCCTATTTTGGGTCCCCCATCTTCGCATATGCCCATCATTACTTTTGACAGGGAACCGATATCGGACTCTTCTCCACATCCATTCACCCGTCTACCGGATGCCACTCAAGCTTACACTCCGTTCAGTATAATAAGGATTCAAGGCATGGATCAATTTTCCAGTCAGATTCCAAGCATGCCATCAGTGCTCGATACCCATGATGTTCACCACCAGGATTGGAGCACATTCATGAATGCACGTGGTTGTAGACATAATTTCAGTGACGTATCAGCTCATTTTTTTTGCTTCAGAATATTTCTCTTGCGTGGATGGAGAAATTGCCCCTTCCTGAGTTTGCCAGGGGCTGTCCGCCTCCGCGGAGCTCGATTGTTGCAGACGTGATAAATCTGTGGAACAATTCCTTCTTCCTTCCCCGTCAAGTAGAGGTAGTCCTCTACAAGGGCTGCGAGCGACGCTCAGGCCGGCACCCAGGGACTGTAGACCATCGACTCTCATTGCCCGAATCGGAAAGAGATAACGAACGCGAGCGGGAGTACTCGTTATACTTGACCTGCGCCACGCCTGGTGTTGACGATTTACTTGAGTCAACCCGTGCCAAATCCTACGCCACACCCCGGTATCCTACATCCTCCTATGCCTACTATCTATGATGGAATAATAAGTTTGCCAGAAGGTGGATGTGGGGATTAACAAACTTCTTTATTGTTATTGTGCTACTCCCATGTATGGTTGACTATGTATTGATGTCCGCACTTGGACCCATTAACAGGCTCATGCAGCAAGTTAGTCAGTCGAGTATGTCTTGCGACTGTTGTCTTTCAGAAAATAAAAGATCTGTTCATAGTATTGTTGGAAGGCGAGGTTGCTCTGCCCGACAATGTTCTCTGCGCCAATGATGTTCCTCCCTTTCCAGCTCTTCGCAGCATCCTCACATTACTCATACTATTCTCGCAGGAATTATGATCGCTCTGTGGCGGCAATTGCCTATTCTTGTAGGTGGAAAAGTCACTCGAGGTAGGCATTCTGGAACAAGGCAAGATCACGGATTTGACACGGACATCTCCCAATATATTTTTGCAGCAGAACATTCCCGTTCGCTGCTGCCACCCGCAAGCTCGTCCTCAGCTGGTCTGAACCCCTTTATCTTCTACTTCTAAGCATGCCATAGTGCAAGGTGCCATTTTACGCACCGATCATGGGTATTGTATTCTTTTTATCAAAGACATTGTGTTACATCAGGGAAACGTAACTCATTACACATGATTACAGAGTGCTACGAAGCGCTCCGTAGCACTCTGTAGCACGATCTAACCCGCTGATGTAGGACCTGGTTACTACAACATCGTGGCTGGCCTTACATTTGACATCGTTTTGATACACACTGTTTATTTGCGTCAACGAAAGAAGAAAGAGATCGTGTCAATATCATGTACAAGCGCTTGCTTTTGTAATGAACGGAATTTTACTCGGAATCATAAGCTTGTCTATGTACTGCATATTTTTTATCAATGGACCATGAAAATTTTGACTGTAGGACGTCATCTACTCAGATACCCTCTGTATTCTGTTGTGAAACAGTGCCTTGCCTTGGAACAATAACCTAGCATGAGCGTTGACAGAAAGCCGTCTTCTGGGTTCTAGAGCTCGTCGGTGAGTGATTGCCTTCGCTTGACTTGCCGTTTAGGCGGCTCGTCGGTGACCAACAGGGCGAGGAAGTCATCTGCAAGGCCAGCAGCAAGGATGCCAGTGATATCGCCGGCTGGATTGGACTGTGAGCCCCCTCAATTCAAAATTAGGGAGATAGATCTTACCATTATCGTATGCTGGAGCAACCTCGACAATGTCAGCCCCACTACAAATGAGTCATCAACTGTTTATACAGGCCCGTGAATGAAAAAAAAGAATCTTACACAAAATTCAATCCAGCAAGACCTCGAAGGATTCGCTTGGTTTCTCGACCGGTCCATCCAGCAGGCTCTGGTGTACCAGCTACCTAGGCGTCAATAACTTCAAAATTCCCCTAGTGATATTGCGCTCACTTGCAGGTGCCTGACTAGGGTCTATCAGAGAGCGGTCAGTATACAGTGATTAGTGATCAATTGGAACATCTGCAGACCGATAGTGTCGATGTCAAAGCTGAGGCGGGAATCAATATTGTGATCAGCAACGCATTGCTTGAGACATACCTCAGGTAAACAGGAGAGTTGCCGATGCGTTGTCGGATATGCTTGACAATCTCATCCGTGCCAAGGTTGTCGATATCCTCAGCCATAATAAGCTCAAATCCAACTTCTTCATCGTGTTCGATCAGCTCAGGGCCCTGTTCATTTAAAGTGCGTGAGCTCGAGCCAATTTAAGACACAAGGAACGCCCCGACCTGCAGTTTATTCCGGATCCCAGCATGAATGCTGGTGTTGGACATGAGTCCCTCCTCAAACGCCAATGTGAAAAATGTCCCGTGCGTGACCCTAGACTGCTCGGTAATGCCTCCCAAGCTCGGCCAGGTGTCGATGTGTGCATCGAAGTGAATCACAGATATGGGTCCATAAACCTGATGAAGAGATCGAAGAATCGGAAGCACCTAGAGATCATTGGACATGTGAGATCCGGAGGATGTAAGTGCATCATGCTATCTTACAATGGTATGGTCTCCGCCTAGCAGTACGTGATCAATTACATATCCGCAAACGAAACCATGATCTAGGGCTCACCTAATGTCAGTATACGAGGGTGTTCCACTCCGTCATGTGCAAGCTTCGCGGTGCGCGCACTAGCACTTCCATTCACGGGTCGTGCCAAAAGGGTGGTATACGCAGTTTCCATTTGATCAACAGCTAACGCGTTGTCATAGGGGCTGATAGGGACCTGTTGAACATTCTGTCAATATGTTTAGACACCTATGACCGGCTGAAACTTACGTCTCCGCAGTCGATCACTTCTGCGCGGGTGTACGGGTTCGTCATCCATTCCAACGCGTAGCCCGCCTCAGCGGATTGACGTCTGGAACCAGATCTAATTGCATATGGTCCGAAACGTGCCCCTGGTCTGTAAGACGTTGTTGTGTCAAATGGCATGCCGAGAACAGCGATGTCAAAGGTTGTCGACGAATCATCCAGGCAACGTGTGTAGGGTAGATGGGAGTAGCTCAGAGGTCCCGTGTAACTGAGGTCTGCCTGTGTGCCGTACTTTGCTGTCCATGGCTCATGCTTGGTGTCGAACGCATGTTGCTGCGCATAAACAACAGGAAGTAGTGTGAGAGGAAGGTATCTCATTGTCAGTGTATGTACGATTTTTCTTCGGCGCCAACTTATGAGGGGAATCAGGAATCAGGATAGATCTCTGGGACGGAGAACATTTTGTACTGTATGTTACGTACTGTTACATAGTCCGAAAGTATTTCTGTGTTGTCTGTTCAGCACCTGATTAACACGTGGTGAGATAGGAAACAAACAAAGATAGCCAAAGTTCATCATGAGGCTAAGAACCCGGGAGTGCGTGTGGTGTGGGAGGGGATTGGGACATGAATATCGATATAAAATCGTGGACAAGGTCGACCGCCGCTGTGCCTTTGATTTTGGCTGTAAAAGAATGTCTCAGTCCCAGTCAGAAACAATCGGCTGCTGTCAAATATGCCATGGCATTCCACTATGTCTGCGCCACTGTGTTGCGAACAAGGAATGAGACTTACTATAAGAGCCAATGATAGCCGGGATATCTACACGAGGCTCAATCCGGCCAGGCCACGGATGATTCGTTTTATCAAGATATGACCCTTACACGTACTTAGCCTTTTCATTTTACATACACGAACACTCCTCCTACCATGCGTCATACACGTTTCCTATTGACTCTCCGTCCCAATCAAACGTATTAATTCCTCCTCTCGTCGAACAATCTCCCTCAGTCTTTTTGAACCAAGACTGAGGTGAGCTATCTTATTGACATCCCTACTCTACTCTTACTAACTACTACTCTACTAGTTCTGTTCTCGCCCTTAGGTATGGTCCATAGTTACCCTTGAGTCTTTTTGAACCAAGACTGAGTTCTGTTCTCGCCCTTAGTTTCTCTAGTCCGAGTCTCTTCACCTTTGATAGGTTATGAGCCCTGGCTCAGACTAGGCATACATTCGTTTCTCGCTTCCACTCGCCTTATCTGAGCCTCTCCGACCTTTTCCGAACTGGAACAAGGTCGCCCTCTATCCCCGCTTGACCTGCGGATCTTATCCATTCCCTTGCCGCCATCGCCGCCATTAACGCCTGTCGTACCAACTCGCTCGTTACCACACCCATTGAATCTTCCCATTCTATTGTCGCCATCGCCGACACATCGTTCGACACCTGTCATGTCCACCATATCGTCGTCCAACATCCGGATTCCAACATCTTTTCCTCACCCTCCTCTGGACGCCAATGGCTCCAACTACACCTCGTGGGTAACGACCATGGACCTTTGGCTCTCGCTCTTCAACCTTTGGCGCCTCCTTTCAGGAGATGAGAAGGGTCCTCCGCGCCCAACCAGAAGCACCACTGAGACTGAGGCTGACTTCAACAAACGCCTCGCGGCACATGATGCGAGCGCGGACGTCATTTCTTTCCGAGAACGCCAAAGCATAACCAAAGGACTCCTTGGTATGACGGTACACTCAAGTGACCTCATCCACTTCATGGGTGTCACTGATCCAGCCGTCATCTGGAAAGCGCTAGAAGACAAGTATCAGGCGTCTGTTGGCATCCGCTTTACGAGCCTCATGGGCCGTATCTTTGACCTTCCCAAAGCATCTGATAGCGACTCTCTTACCAAGACCATTAAGGAGATCACGGACATCAAGGCCCAATTCAAGGTCATTGAATCCATCGAATGGAAGTGCAACGAATATACCCTTGTCCAAGCGCTACTGCGTGCCCTTCCCGACTTCTATGCGCCGCTTTCCCAGCTCATACTCCATAGTGCTGACGCCAATACCGGGAAGCTAACGCTGGAAGGAGTCATCAGCCAGATCAGGAACTCGGAACAATATTATGCAAGTTTCGGCTCTGCAAACCCACATGCGCACCACACAGCCATGGCTGCTAGGGTGGCGAAAGCAGGTAAACCTACTGAGCGTGCCAAACCGAAGGATTTTGACGCCTCCAAGGGAGATAAATGGGAGTTGTCGTGGCGCTCGACGTGCGGATCTTGCAAGCGCACAGGCCATATCTGGAACAACTGCCGTGCTCGTCTAGCAAAATCCGACTCATCAAACACGTCAGCGTGCATTCCCCCCTCACCTTCACAAGGTACTGACATATCAGTTCCCCTACCAGGACAACCTGACGGCATTCCATCGTTTCTTCGTCTTCCTACACACTCTGCTAGTTTCTCTAATACGAGCACTATTTCTTTTCAATTCCACGTAGACTCTGCCGCCACCGCACATATGGAATCCAATCACTCCCTCTTCACTCGCTACAGAACTTACAACCCTCCATTAATCGTGAAACTTGCGAATGACGATACTGTTCTTGCCCCAGGTTGGGGATTCATCACGCTAGTGCTCGACGGAAGACATGAGTCTATCGAACTCCCTTTCCTCCACGTACCAGACCTACGGTGCACACTGATATCAGTGTCTGCTCTAGCGTCGGAGGGAATTTTCTTCGAAACGGATGCTGAAGGAGGACAAATGCGTCGTGCTGATAAGACTGTGATCGCACGTGTGGAATGCTCTGCCGGTCTATACTACCTTCGAGCCAAGCACACCCATACGGCCTTTGCCACCAGGTCCACCTCGGCTACGCCATTACCACTAGCTGTATGGCATGCACGCATGGGCCATGCCGCAAACTCCACCTTGCGCAAAGCTGAGAAGGTTGTATTAGGACTGTCACTTAACCTGTTAGACGAGTCTACAGGACCTGGTGACCACATTGACTGTCCGTCGTGCCTAATGGGCAAACAAAAACGATTGCCGTTCCCGTCTCATGCTCGACACCGTGCAACGCACGTCGCTGAACTTGTTCACACTGACGTTTGGGGACCCGTCAACACTGCAACCCCGTCCGGCGAAACATACTTTGTTGCCTTCACTGATGATTTTTCGCGTTATTCCACTATCTACCTCATTAAGCACAAGAGTGAGGTACACTCGCACCTTCTGCGATATATCGCCTGGATTGAAAACCAGTCAGGGCAACGAGTTAAACGCCTCCGCAGTGACAACGGTGGCGAATACGTCTCTCACGCTACTATTGAATTCCTGCGTAGTAAAGGAATTGAGCACGAACTTACGATGCCTCATACAGCCGAACAGAATGGTGTTGCCGAACGTGGACACCAGACCATTGCCACCCGAGCATTAAGTGCCCATCACCAGAGTGGTTTTCCTCGTTCGTTCTGGGGCCACGCCATCCTCAACTCAGTATACATCAAGAACTTCCTCCCGTCGTCAGCTACTGACAACAGAACGCCGTTTGAACTCTTCTATGGTGAACTACCAAATGTCTCGCACCTACGTCCGTTTGGCTGCCTCGCATATGCTCACATCCCAGACGACAATCGCCACAAGTACGACTTTGTTTCGAGACGGTGCTTCCTACTGGGGCACGTCAAAGATGCGGGATATCTTCTATGGGATCCAGCGACACGACAGACGGTGCGCTCTCGAAATGTCCTTTTTGATGAAAAATTCTTCTACGGCACACCCAACTCAGTTCTCTCGCCCCTCGTTGAATTACACAACCAGCGCATTGCAATGCAGCAGCCCACCCTCGCATTGCCACATGATTTGCCGATATCAGAAGACGGCTTCAGAACCACACGACCTGGAGAAGATGATTCCGGTATTACACTACCAGGACCCAGTACCGTTTCAGTGGGAGTACTTCCGACTTCTGCTCCTCTCATCCCCGAACCTCCACAGCCATTCCCGCAGTCGAACGACAATGTTCTCCCTGTCCCTGCTGAAGTTCCGGTAGAAACGGTACCATCTCCTGAGCCACGACGTTCGACACGTCAACGCATTGACGCGCGACCAGCAGTCCCGAAAACTGTTGCCATCCCAACAAAACATGTCCCAGTACAGCGGCGTTGGACTTATGTACCGGTCACTGTTGAGGAGGAGGTTGTTGAAGAAGAAAATCTTAGTATTAGTGCTACCCCCGATGTCACCATTGAGCACTCCGCGAAGCATGTATCCTTGGCGGACAGCAACAAGATTGATGGACGGAAGCTTCCCCCCAAAACGATAGCTGCCGCTCGCTTGTCAATGGATTCGGGTCATTGGGAAAGCGCAATGAATGAAGAGTTAGCTTCGTTGGGAGAAAAAGGAGTGGGTGTCTTAACACCACTCCCATCAGGGAGAAAAGCAGTCGGCTCACGGTGGGTGTACTCGCACAAGTATGACGAAAATGGCCAGATTGCCCGCCACAAGGCCCGCCTTGTTGCGCAGGGTTTCACACAGATCGAAGGACTAGATTACACCGACACCTTTGCTCCTGTTGCAAAATACGACACCGTACGTGCACTACTCTCCATGGTCGCTAAGTTTGATCTTGAACTTGATCAAATGGACGTGAAGACCGCCTTTCTCAATGGCGAGCTTGACGAAGAAATCTACATGCGTCAACCTCCAGGCTTCGAAGACCCTGAGCATCCAGATTGGGTCTGGAAACTCCTCAAGGCCATCTACGGACTCAAGCAAGCCGGTCGTCAATGGAACAAGACACTCGATGATTTCCTGCGAAAAGAAGGTTTTAATTTTGTTCGTAGCGAAGCAGACTATAGTCTGTATGTTTTACGAAAAGATGACAAGACCATCTGGCTCCTTGTTTACGTCGATGACATGTTGCTCGCATCGAACTGTCGGGATTTCCTTAACGGTTTCAAATCGGAGATGAGCAAACGTTTTGAAATGAAGGACCTTGGTGAAGCGCGTCATTTCTTAGGAATGCACATTACACGAGATCGCTCTAAGAAGCACCTTACCGTCAACCAATCCTCCTTTCTCGAACAGATTCTCAGTGAAACTCGGATGTCAGATTGTCGACCAGTATCTACCCCCATGGTTCCAGGGATCTCCTTGACGAAGTCATCTGCACCCCTCACTCAAGCCGAAATCCAACAATTTGCGCACATGCCATACGCGCGTGTCGTTGGGGAACTCAACTTCGCCATGCGCGTTAGTCGTCCCGATATTGCATATGCAGTATCGGCGCTGTCAAAATATCTGAGTAACCCTGGCATAGACCACTACCGCCAGCTTCACCATCTCCTTCGTTACCTTCGTGGATCCACACATCATTCCCTAACGTTTGGTTTGTCCAACCAAGGACTCATCGGTTATTCGGATTCTGACTTCGCGTCTGATAAAGACGACAGTCGCTCAATTGGGGGCTATGTCTACTTTCTTTTCGGTTCCCCCATCAGTTGGCGTTCCCAAAAGCAATCCGTCGTTGCGACTTCGTCTACTGAAGCTGAATACATCTCACTCTCTAACGCGGCCCGCGAACAGATCCATCTCAGCCAGCTGCTATGCGATTTTGGTCTTGACCTCTCGCTGATCACCCCCACCACGTTATATGGTGATAACAATGGAAGTCGCGCACTAACGAAAAACCCTCAATTCCACGACCGGGCCAAGCACATTCGCGTCCGCTATCACTTCGTTCGAGATCTGGTCAGCGACGGCACCATCATCATTCCCTATGTACCCACACATGATATGATTGCCGACATCTTCACGAAATCCCTACCACGAAAACTTTTCCGCAACCATCGACACTCGCTTGCTCTTCGTTCATCGTCAAACGAAGACCCAGTTGAATGAGCACGCCCGCGTCTCTAGCGTTTTGCGTTCGAGTGGGAGTATCAAGATATGACCCTTACACGTACTTAGCCTTTTCATTTTACATACACGAACACTCCTCCTACCATGCGTCATACACGTTTCCTATTGACTCTCCGTCCCAATCAAACGTATTAATTCCTCCTCTCGTCGAACAATCTCCCTCAGTCTTTTTGAACCAAGACTGAGGTGAGCTATCTTATTGACATCCCTACTCTACTCTTACTAACTACTACTCTACTAGTTCTGTTCTCGCCCTTAGGTATGGTCCATAGTTACCCTTGAGTCTTTTTGAACCAAGACTGAGTTCTGTTCTCGCCCTTAGTTTCTCTAGTCCGAGTCTCTTCACCTTTGATACGTTTAACCTCTCTACCCGTATAAAGTAAGTATGCAACAACGGCTTTAAGCCTTCATTGTATTAGTTTCCCCTAGTGAGATCACAAGAGAAGAGAAACAGCGATTCCTACGATTGCTTGTATTCAACGGATGAGATAACGCCCGAGTCACGGGAGAGATCTTTATTAATGATGATGACTGACAGTATACTCGGTAGATGCACAACAGATAAAGAACCAGAAGGGAGTCCAGCGTCTGGCGTGATTTATCGTTACACGAGGATTAGTTGAAGTTAAAGTAGCAAGGACGGGAGGTGTGGTAGACGAGCCTAAGCTGGAACGTTGTGTTACATTGCCATTAGGAAGGTGCGAACTGCTTTCAGCAGCGTTTGTTGAGATTTGGTTTTTCCTGCTGAGGCGTTTTTCCACTGGGTTCGAACACTGGCGAAGGAAGACGGTTGCCCTTGGCATACAGGATATCGACTACTGCTGAGCTATGCTTGTGCAGCTCGACCTGTGCACAACTTGGCCTGCCAAAGAGAATATTTCCAACCCGATGGAAGAGTCGGGATCTGGACTCTGTATCGTGGGTGCGTGGTGATGCAGAAAATTGACAACACGAGGTCAGGTATGCATTACAGGATGAGAAGTCAACGACGTACATGGAAAGTTCATCAAATAAACCTCGAGGTACGCAATTGGAGACCTTGAGTGGTTGGGCAGGATGCTGTGTGTAGCCGCATCAAGCACCGACTGGAGTCGTGGGAGAGCGGATACAGCCGGAATGACATACAACAAGACGTGCATGTCATAATCAACTACGGGCGCAGCTCTTTAACAAAATACCCGATCATAGAAACGAAAGACTCGACACGGAGCCTTTGTCAAGTACATTGGAAATTCGAGACACTATGTATGGACTAAGGCTGTGCAGCTGATTGAATTGCAAATTTTGTGGCGCACGCCGCTGTTCAGCCCACTCGTCTAGTGCGTAAGACGACATGTTTCTCACTATATAGCAGAACCCAGAATGCATTTCAATCACTCATGCCGGCTGGCACCGTTCAAGGACAGTGGATGATAAATTTCCATCTACTAAGTTGAATACTAGGACCAGGGAGTCATTTGAGCGTTCCCCGTGACTCATCCTCACTGAGGGCGGTACAGCCATTTTCATATTGTAGCCAAACGTTTGATCCCGCGGAAGCAATTCGCGTGACACTCCTGTCTGCGCTTCACCTGGACTCCCAATCGGTCAAGCGCTGTGCGCTCGACGATCTCCTATGTCTCTACTTGTGATCGTGTGATCGCTCATTTTTCTCCTAACCTGTCCGTCAGCCCACAGCCTCGGAGACTTCGTCCTGGAACAAGCGCAATGTATTTTCATGTAAATTGTGCAACGCTGTATCACTCTAATTTGCTCTTCATCCTCAAGTATCCATGCGACAATCTTTTGCGCGTCTTCTGGGCACATGGTCAGCTTTAAACGGCACTATTGAGAGTGCGATGTCGACGAGCCATTCGAGCACTCGCGGTTTGCAAGAATAAAAGACGACTGCGAGCATACTATACAGACACGTCTTGTTATAATTCACGAGACAATACGCCCCACGTAAACGGAACACTTGTTGGTATAATCAGAATAATCAGAGAGAAAGCAGAGAAATATATATATCGATGGTCTAAAATACAAAGTATCTCCCAAGGAAAATATTAACGACGTAGTATGCAAATAAGTTACTCTAGAATCCTCGGGCTCGGCCCCTCGAAGGGTTCTGATAACCTCCTCCATTGTAGCCACCTCCATAGCCACCACGAGCCTGTCCGCCATTCTGGTTTCCATAACCCATGTAACTGCCGCCGTTGTCTTGTCCTCCTGAACCACCATAGCCACCTCGGCTTGCCTGCCCACCGTAGCCCCCGTAACCACTGTTCGCCTGTCCACCATACCCTCCACTGCTGCCACCGTACCCACCAGAATAGCCTCCACGGCTATATCCCGGTTGATGAGCGGTTTGAGCATAGGACGTAGAACCTCCATACCCGGAACTACCGCCACGAGGAGGGCCGCCACGGGGAGGACCACCGCGGGGAGGGCCACCGCGACTTGGTAGCATTCCACGCGAGGGAGGGGCACCTCCTCGAGGGGGTGGACCACCACGCGACTGACCAGGATAATTATTACCATAATTTTGAATTGGTGGCCGTCCATTGGAGCCATAGCCTCCGAATCCTTGCTGGGGCCCTTGAGTGTACGGTGTTCGAGACTGAGTGGTGGTGTACGAGGAGACGTATGATGTCGGAGTTTGTGATTGGCCATGGGCGCTGCCATACCCATGTCCGTTGTTGTAAGAGCCGTTCTGATAACCACCTCGTCCGCGACCGCCACGATCCATACCGCCCCCTCGGCCATGTCCTCGGCCCCTCCGAGCTAGATCCTCACTAGTAAGCTGTCTTGCAGGTTTTATAACCCCTGGAAGAAACATCGATCGATGGGGAGAGAGTTGCTTTGGGAAGTAGTATAATGCGGAGAGAGAACGATCATTTTTAATATCTTGCAGGTCCATGGAACTCAAAGGGGAGTAATACGTCGAGCCAGGTAAACAATCGGGGTTTGGTAGAACACTACCGCTAATGCCCTTGGACAGGTTGGTAGGTATGAGTTGGGGCTGAGTAGTTGTAGTCAGTAACAAAACCGATTCTGGTCAAACTGACGGCGTACCTCTTTCTCCTTGCGCTTGCCATATAATCCCTCGAAGAACGGATATATTGAATGTTCATCGGCGACAAATATGACATTTTGACCCCAGCTATTTCTTCGGGCTTCATCCTCAGTGAGCTTAGGGTAGTGCTCGGCCATCGCATCTAATAACCTTTTCTCGTCTATGAAAGGCAACAGAGCAACACCTTGCCACAGCATCTTCTTCCCATTCATATCGATCTGGAAAGTTGATGGGTAGAAATCATGAATTGGAGATTCTTCGTTTGTCATGAGATCGTGGAAGACTTCAGGTATGTGCTTGCGACTGACGATACTGGTGAGCCATGTAGTAAAATTAATACTCAATGTGGACGTACCTAGCAGGGGGGAAAACACCCATAAGTTGCTCGTACGGTTTGAATGGCTGTCCGAGAGTAAAATCGAGTTGCATGTTTTCCAAATCTTCGAAGTCCGACGCGAAAGGCGCAAAATGATATGGGTAATACCATTGCCACGAGGGGGGCTACTACCGAGTCAGCAAATAAAGGCAAATCGGCGGACGGAGCTCACCCCTTGATAGTAGTAATGCAGAACCCACGCAATACCTTCTACATAGTGTTTTGTTAGCCTTTGCACAGCAGAGTCAGCCAAGTTTGTGCAGAAATCAATAACAAAAGCGCCCACTTTCTACGGAAATCATTATCATTTTCTGATATGCCAAACTTTTGCTGATAGTATCGCTTCTTATACCCGGGATCATACAATCTGAGGAAATGTTATTCACAGCATCGCATGATTTCACAGCATTTTCATACCTCACGTTATCGGCCTGCTCAACTGAGCCATCGGCCCTGACTACCAGGGCGTAAGACGCATCTTCGTTATCTTCAGACGACTCCTCATCAATGCCAGCTACTTCATCGGTATCCTCTCCCTCGATATCTTCAAGCTTCCGCTTGACACCAACGATAGGTGTTACAGGCTCATCAGCTGGAAGAGTTACAGGATCATTGGGCTCGACATCCATGTCACCAGCCCCATCATCAACGAATTCAAGTGCTGATGAAGCATTCCCAAGACCCGGAATATCTCCGTCATCCATAAGCTCAGCGTCTGTTTTGGGTGGAGGCGTAGGAACAACCGGCTCAGGTTTAGAAGCAGAAGCACTCTGTTTCACAGGAATGAGTCCAGATAGCTCAGCCTTGAGCATCTCTGCAGCACTCATGTTCGCCATCCGTATAGCAGCTCGATTGGCAACTACATCACGATTCGAACCAGCCAGTGCTTGCGCTGCAACTGGAGCAACTTCAAGAGACTGAGCATTACGCGGCGCTCCGAGACCAATAGAGTCGGCCTTGGCAGCAAAAGCATTATCTGCACGTTGAGGAAGAGATGATAATGATGTAGTGGATGCAGTCAGACCAAGTTTCGCAGACGGAGCGGCGAACTGAATATCGCCCGCGGCGTTCTCTCCAGACCCAGACTTTTCAATCCTACGACGTTTCGCCTCTTGATCTTGGCGTTGCTCAGCTGAGATATGGTAAGTCTCTAAGGCGTTGACGGATCACATCACAGATACTCACTCTCTTGTCGCTTACGGAAGATCTCATCTTCTCGTCGCGCCAGTCCCTCTAATATGATCTGCGCACGACTAAGCACTAGTTGACCATGGTTCGTCAGATATCCACCCATTCTGGGTAACTCCATCTTCCAGATCCTCAAAAGAGTATCAATCGCTCCTTCGCGAATCTCAAGTGACGGCAAATGCGGCAAGAAATCGTTGCCGACAAAGAATATGAGTAACACCCAGTCATCAATAGCTTGTTCCAAATCGAAAGGGAAGGGCGTATTGTTCACATTCAACTCGGATTCCAGATACTCGCGCAGAATGGCGACATCGAGGAAAATGAACGGTTTTTTTTCCGGTGGAGGAGGCTTTTTAATCTCTGATTTCAGTGCTGTACATTGAGCGGCATAGTGACCTTCTTGTCCACACATTCGGCACCCGGAACCTTTGTCTTGCGCAAACACATCTTCCCGAAGTACTCGGAAATATGGTTCATGGGTCGCGAGGGCGAGCATAATGAGATCAGCATCCTGAACATACGATCAATAACACAAAGCACGATAGCTGGAAATCAACCCACCAAACCATAAATTACATGTCGAGTATTAGGTTCATGACCAGGATTTGTGCGTTGTCTGCGTATGAAGTCCATAATCTTATGCTCTCCTTCTCCAGGCACACTTGCATCCGAGATGATGACTTGCAGCTATACCAGAAATGAGTCAGAAGGATCCCTAGGAAACGTTCACTACGTACATCTTTCCACCCTGGATCAGTATTCATCTTCTCCACAACCCAGTACCGTAACGACGCTGTTAAAAGGTCCATAAACGGCGTACCGGGTGTGATAGCGTTAGAGTCCCAAGATTCCTTGTTTTTCTCGTCATCGGTAATAATCTTACCCATAGCTGCAATGATGAAATCGGTCAGAAATACAGCATAGATTGGCTCTGAGAACAACGTACCTTCCCACTCAGCGACAGCAAGTTTATGAGCTTCCGCCTTGTCTTTTGCTTCTTGAGCAGTCCTGAACCGTCTACTCCGCTGTTGATTCATCTTGGCACGAGGTGCAACGCCGTCTAATTGCACTCTGCAGTAAGTTCGTGGTATGAGACAACATAAATGTAAAGCGCACCAATAGCCATGAAAAGAAGTTTGCGCGGCCGCACCATGTTAACCACTCTGTTAGTGTATTTGAACACTTCAAGCATCATTTCCTCCTCCGTTTCGGGAGCCGGCTGCGGAAGACGAGTCAGGGAGTAAAGCAAATTTATAGAACGAAGTATGCGTACTTTGCCTTCGGGATGAGTACAGGGATGAACCTGTGTACGTGCGGATGGTCAGCACGAAAAATGTATTTACTACCATCACTCACGATACCGTTCATATCCAGGTATAAGCTGTCGAATTCCTCGCCATTGGGGTTAGGTTGTGTGATGTCAACGGGAAGTTTAATAGGATCCCCAGCTGCGTCGAGAACTTCCTCCTCCTCCGCTTCAGCGACAGATGATACTGGTAACTGTTAGCCAAGCAGATACCGGTTAAGCACCGGTTGCTCACCAATTTTCGGATATTTCTTGCTCAACCAACGGAACAGTGCGGGAACGCCCTATAAACAAGGTCAATGAAAGCCCAATTCGCAAGTTTTAGAGAACATACCATTGTACCGTAATTCCGATATAAACGAAGATTATAATGTGATCGTCCACGAGCAAGGACTCTAGCGTCGGCGCGCCGACTGCCACGACAAAGCAAAATGATGGCCGTGAGAATATAAGCTGATGTAATTAAAGTTCCCACGTTCCCCAGACTATGACTCGGTACGATTGGAAACGATCAAGCAAAGTTGAATGTAATGTCTACTGTTCCTCTGATCATTAACCCTTTGACTTCGTCAAATATTCTGCTGAAACGATGAGCGCAACTGCAACTATTACAATGTCCGCTCTTCCATCTAAATCCACGATCAAGCTCGCTCCTGCTCAATCTCATGCCGAAGCATCATCATCTCAGGCCCAGAATCAGCCCCCCAAGTCTCAAAAGCAGATGACCAAAACGGAGAGACGCGAACAACAAGAGCGTCAGAGAGCTGCAAAGGCTGCTACTAAAGCAGCTGGTCCCCAACCTGGTGGATCTAATCAGAATTCCGCTCAGGTGAAGAAAGGCGCACCACCTGCTGCAAGCACTAGTGCTTCAGTCAAGAAGGGTGGAAAAGGTCCTGATGGAAAACCAACGAAGGACACAAAAGAAACCACATCCGATGACTCTGCTCGTGGTTTGCGGATATTCTCCCATTTTGGCCTCCCCAAACCCCCTGGCCCTAGTAAGGGAGATATACACCCCGCTATCATCCGCCTCGGATTGCAGTTTTCGGAGTTCAAGATCGTAGGGGCAAATGCGCGTTGTATTGCCACCCTGACTGCCTTTAAAACTGTACATTACGATCGTCCTGGTCTACCGAACATTGCTGACGTTTATCAAGGTGATACAAGACTATGTCACTCCTCCTAACAATACGCTCTCGAGGCATCTCTTGACACATCTTTCGCCTCAAATCACTCATCTTGTGTCTGCCCGCCCCATGTCTGTCACTATGGGTAATGCCATTCGGGAGCTCAAATTAGAGATCAGTGGATCGGATATCGACCTCCCGGAGCAGGATGTCGGTCTCAATCATTTGTTCCTATCATACGTGGACTCATTCACTCTTCAGGCAAAAAATCTCCTTTGTCAAAAGATAGATGATTATATCAGCGAACGAATTACCATAGCAGATCAAGTTATTCAAGAGACTGCAGGGACCAAGATCAAAGACGGAGACGTCATTCTGACGTATGCTCGGTAACAAGATTCACATTTTCCCGTTATCATCCGCTCATAGTCATTTGCTCAGATCTTCAGTTGTAGAACAAGTTCTGGTAGGTGCGTGGGATGATGGGAAGCAATTCTCGGTTGTGGTCGTCGATTCCCGGCCAATGCTAGAAGGCAAGAGGCCCTATTATCATAGCCCCGTTTGTAATCTCATACTGTGGCCTACGGAATAGGCAAGAAGCTTCTCTCCGTACTTTCTGCCATGGGCATTCCCTGCACTTACCTCCTTCTGCCATCCATTGGATCTGTCATCACAGAGGTGTCGACAGTCTTAGTGGGCGCTCACTCCCTACATTCGAACGGCGCCGTATTTTCCCGTGCAGGCACGGCCCTCGTAGCTATGATGGCAAAACAGCACAGCGTTCCTGTCGTCGTTTGCTGCGAGACATACAAGTTTGCCGAAACAATCCAGCTAGATAGTTTTACCAAGAACGAGCTCGGTACGTTTCTCGTAGTCGGTATCCTTCATCTCAAACTAATATTAAGACCCTGTAGCACCAGCTGGCGATATATTTTCGTCCTTCCCCCTCACTCGGTCGAGGGATACACTTACCCTCAACAAACAGCTCAATCTAGAAATCCTCAATCCGCTTTACGACCTGACACCTCCTTCAAGTATCACGGCAGTTGTGACAGAAGTAGGAGTTATTCCGCCAAGCTCCATCAGCTCGATTCCACTCGCACTCGGTCGCACTACACTGTAACATACCGCACATAACATCGTTATCTGATCACGAGTAGGAAGTTACAATCATACGATTTAATTGCATAGATGGCATGGTGCATTGTATATTTATGTGCTTTGCTCTGCGCTGACCATCAGTCCATTTGTCAAATAACAGTATTTGTGTTTGTTCTCCCTATTATATAATTACTACTTGCCTGGATTGTGCAGGCTTCGAAGTTCGATGTCAGCATGGTCAACGAACTCTCCTGATCATGGGACCCACTTCGGAATTAGCTGTCCGGTCCCAGGAAAGGCGGCCTGGGTCCGGCGTTCGAAGGTAAATAAAGAGAAGGCGTGAACCCCGAGGAATAACGAACAGCATCAACTTCTCAGATGATCAGAGTGATAGGGAAGTCCTGACTCTGTTAGTGGAGACAACAATCTTTAGAGACAGCATATCGATGCATAGAGTAAACAGTAGATAAGAGAAGTGGAATAATTACTACGATTATGGCTTCTCTCTAGTGTCCTGACTTTCAATGAGCCTCTTCTCTATCCACTCGAACGCCTTGTCCGTTGCCGTCTCAACGGGGTGATCAAATATGTACGGCAGGAAAGGAACGATAGCAAGTCCACTGATAGTTGGACCCCACGTCTTCAATCTCTTGTTTTGCACGTTCGTGAAAGCTTTTTTTGCTTGGTTGACGGCCGTATGAATTGTGAATGCGGGTAACGCCCTGTGCGTAATGGGATCATCCAATGAGAACGATCGCAACGAAAGGGCGTAATAATTAGGAACGTGCACGTACATTGATGCTACGGATTGGAAAACCGCACGTTTGACGGCCACCATACCTACTCTTGTCGGCTCTGAGAAATGGGCGGCTTCTATGGGGCTGGGTCCGCGTCTATGAGTCTTATACGCTTCGTAGCTCACGTCGCTGGTATTATGATAGCATGGCTCGTCACTAGTCGGCACACAGATTAATGAGACGGCACGCACCCAGCCAGATATAGCCATGAAATACCGTAGCATGCAGTAACTATGGAAGGAGGTACTACGGGACGAAATGCCTCTCCGACATCACTAGTCTATGATCAGTCTTCACCACGAACAAAAGTAAGTCGAGTGATGCGAAGAAACGTACATATGCAATGTAACGACTGCCGGCACGAACTGCAGTCCTGAGACGAGCAGCATATGCCATGTAACGCAGATCAGAGTCTGTGCTGTCTAAATTTCTGTCGGCTAGAGAAGATATTTCATTCTGTGCTTTCTCTGTCATTCGCGACATGGTTGTAGCACACTGCCAGTGTGCCCTTGGTTGAGTATTGAAATTACATAATGTGAAATCGAGGGGTCATTTTTCTTGTTTGACCCCGTGTTAAGTAACGTCAGTCTCACCGACACTCGCCGACTCCAACAATAAGTAATGTCCTTGACAGCCCTTGCAGCGCTGGACTCTCAGATGGACAACATCGACGTCCTTCGTAATTCTCCTCCTCCAGATGACTCTACAGCAAAGATCAGCGCATATTATTCTCTTGTCTTCCCAAACATCACTTTCTATCTTCAGACCCTGACAGTCACTATTGGACGACGCTGCGTACCCAATGCATCTACATCTGCTGGCGACAACAGTCCTGTTGATGTCGATTTGGGACCCCTCAAGAGTGTATCCAGGCTCCATGCCAAGATCGAGTACGAGGAGGACGAGGAGCGCTTTGTTCTCGTCGTCGTAGGCAGAAACGGCGCTTGGGTGGACGGTGTTTGGTCTGGCAGCGGTAGCAGAGTTCCTTTGGGGGAGAGGTCTGTATTTGATATCTCATGAGCCGGGAGCGTGTCTAACCGTGGATCAGGTCTCAAATACAAATAGCTTCTAGGACCTTCCATTTCGTGCTCCCGCCCCCTCCAGCACCGGAGGACTCGCCATCCCCGAGTTCAAATTCATCAGTGCAGCGTGCACGTTCACCCTCTGTCGATATTACGTCTATATCACCCCCTTCCTCTCTTCCCTCGAATTCGCCGCCCCCCGTCTCCGTACCAGTACCGCCGCCAAAGTCGCCAGACCCACAGCTCCCAAATACGAACAGTATACCCAGGGTAAAGACCGCGCCCAAAAAGCGCAAGAAATCAGACCTGCCTATACCAAAGCCAGAGGTTATGCCCCCAAAACCTCAATTCACATACGCTCAGCTCTGTTATCGAGCTATTAAAGCAATGGGTGGCAAGGCGACGCTGCAGGATATATGCTCGTGGATGATGGAGACTTATGACTGGTACCGGTACAATGAGGGTGCAGGATGGGAGGTGAGCTATCTTATCTCTGACATTGCACCTGACACTCCAATGGCTCACCTCTTTTCAGAACTCTGTTCGACACAATTTATCATCCGGCCGTGCATTCAAGAAGATGGAGAGGAGTTCTGGAGAGCGAGGGAAGGGATTTTATTGGTCCGTGGACGAACAATATGAACACACCTTCGAGGAGCAAGAAGCCAGATCACAAGCTGCATCGTCAAGTACGGGTGGTAAAGACGGAAAGGGCAGGAAGAAGGAGAGGGCAGCGCCTCTAGAACCTGCACTCAAGCGCAGCGTCAAGGGCGACATAAAAGGCGTTACTCTTCCGCCGCCGCTAACATCAACGCCGCTGCCATTCAAGTCTTCTAACACCTCTATACCGCACACAAATCCGTTGACAACAGTCCCCCTTGCGAGTCCTTTTACAACTACACCCATTATTAAATCAGAGCCTTTCACGACATCCAAGCTCACTTCAATAGTGCATCCAGCACCAGGAGCCTCATCTCCGCATGTGGCTCCTGCACTAGCATCGACTCCTTCGTCGGAATCTTCCGCATGTGCGACATCTAGCGCGGCATCTGCACCCTTCTCAGCATTACCGGCATCTGTTTGCCTACCCATCATTGTTGGACCTGTTCCAGCTTCGCATCCTTCATCCTCGAACCCTGAGCAGGCACAACCTATCATTCTTCATAATAATACCCTCATACTATCTCCCACGATCTTTTCGCATCTGTCTCCAGAGCAGCTCAGAGAGCTCGAGGCGCTTGGTGCCCAGAAAGCTCTAGAAATATTACAAGGTCATATAGTGCGATATCTGAAGGAGAAAATGACGCGTGGACGCGGGCGGACGAAACGCGCGAGAGGTGGTCGCGGGGGCCTGCCTGGATCTCGTGACAACAAAGTCCCTCCAACAGGTGGGCCGTTTACCACTATGCCACTCCCATCACGGACGCCTCAACTAGTCACGGTGCCGGATTTCGAGAGTGCCCAATCTCAAGCACCAGCTGCCCATCCGCCGACTGCTGAGAGCGTTGCTGTCAGTGTCGCAGAAAAGCCTCCTGTGCCTGTGCCAATAACTTCATCCGCACCTTCCCCTCGTAGCGAATCCCCTATCATCGTTGTAGACGACGTTGATTCGGCTGATGAGGGTCCCGCGATGAAGAAGCGCCGGATAGACATGGTTTGCTAGCATAAACGCCGTTCATTTCCCACACCTTGGTCATTGCATACGTTTCACGTCTTCGTCTCTACACTTTTTCATGACCTACTTTTACCAGCCCACTATAGTTCATGCGATAATTTGACTCGGCAGTAACATATGATCCTCATAGAAGCATGGTTATGATTCATAGGACTATAGATCAGAATTTCACAGGTCTCATTGTACGCAGAAGTTCGTGAGACGTTAGCCAATGCAAAAAGGGGAGTAGCCAATCGGAAGGAACATGTTGAAGGTATATAGCAACTTGAAGAGAGCAAAAGGTACAATCAAGTACACAAAACAGCGAACGTCAACGTTCGAGAAATAAAACCACAACAAGAGTATGTGTATGAAAGCAGAGAACACAACGTTTGAGAAACAAAACCACAAAGAGCATGTGTGACTTGAAAGCAGAAAACATCACAAAGCACAGCAAAAAAAGCAGAAACAACGAATATGAAACAACGAAACAACGACACACGTCAAAAGCGGACAAACGCCTGTCAACCGTCGGCCGTACCCCTAATGAGAGTGCTGGCACCTGCGAAAATTTTATAACTCGTTCCACCACGTCCACGCCAGGATTCCGCAGCATCAATCCCACGAGTAACCTGTTCTCCTCCCTTCACCTTCACCTACGTGTTCGTGGATATCTCTCACCGCGGAACCTCTGCGCAAAGTTGTCTAGGATGCGCACTGCGAGCTTGTAGGCTTCCGTTCCATTCACTAAATGGTCGGTCACCACAGCAATCAGGTACCTTTCAAGACGAGTCTCCTGGACTTCCGCACGAGTAGCCCAGTCCTTGTTCTGGTCGATGTCTTTCAGCAACTTCAAAATCTGGTCTTTGGACATAATCTCCTGTTTCCGAAAAGTGTGTAAGTTAGCGTTCATCACCACGACTGCAACAGAGAAACACGCACTACGTCATCTTCGAATAGAGCATCTATATGCGCACGGGAGATTCCCTTCAACTTTCCCGCCCACATACGCACTTTTTGGGAGATCACACTCGCATAGGACAGTGCTCGCTGAGGATCACCGGTTTCGACCTCGTCGTCTGACACCTCCATGTCCTCCACCCTGGTCCTGCTGCTCGACGCTACGGCACTCCCACCCGGAGCCGGCCTTCTGTAGCTGCGCATTACAACTGAAACCCCACTCCCCCGAGCCGAATGCCTTGGTGCTTGAGTATCATTAAGGGAGACGGAAGGCTCTGCATGGTTGTTGTGCGCATCCACTATGGATCGCGGACCGTCCAGAACGACATCGTCGACAACTTCAACACTGCTGGACGAAAATCTGCCTGAAGACGACGACGGTTCGATTGACGAGCGTGGCCCGGGCGAAATATGATCGATATCACTCGTCGCTGAATCTGAATCGAGACGAGGTTGTAGCGCTCCTGTTCGCTTTAGGCGCTTTTGAGGACCGCCTTCGGAGGTGTCGCTGGATTCTGAGTCGAGGCGGCGCTTGGCTGTGTTGACTTTGATCGACGTTGATAGGATCTGAGTCTGAATGCAATGCTCCAGGGTCAGTGCGATTTCGAAATTTAAAGAGTAACATTTGAATGCTCACATTCCTTTGCTTCTGTGTGCTCTTTTGATTCTTAGCTTGCTTTTGCAATAGACGGTTCTCCTCATCACTGCCAAGGGTAAGGTCAATGGCATCTTCCGTGACAGTGGGAATGGGTGGGGGAGTGACATGAGTAGTAGATTTCACAGTGCCATTTGGCTGCTTGGGCACTGGCATTAGGCTCTGGAGTTCTGTATAAAGTTTAGCATCAGACATCACTGAAGGCATACTCACATTACCTGAGGTAGCAGGACTATCATCAGTGACAATAGAACCAACAGGATTGAGAGATCCCCTAGATTGAGCTAATAGTAATCGGCGTGAAAAAATGAAGCGCAGATTTGGATTACTGGGTGCAGCAATAAAGGAGGAACCTTGATGAGCAGCTTGGGGTGTGCTAGTAAGCTGAGAGCGTAATGGTTGGAAAGTTTGGTGTGGTAGCATATAAGCAGATGGGGTGCTAGAGGCAGCAGGTGCCAAATTCAGATCCTCCATCGCACCTGCAATGGTTCTAGTGCCATGCTGTGCAGAATGATTGAGGGTAACAGATGGAGTGACAGTAGGTGATGCAGGATGAGCTCCTTGAGGTTGCCTTGCAGGGATGCCTCTAGTATATACTAATGGGTCTGACCATTGCACATGATGTCCAGCAGAACGATTGCTCTGTGACTGGACACTTGCATCAGAAATGTCAGAAGGTATAGTTTTAGAAATAGTAGGTGGAGCACTATCAATGGAGGGAGGGCTATTTGAAGGATGTGCCATTACTGGAGGGTGTTGAGAGATGGTAGTGGTATTTGGTTGATGGGTGAAACAATAAAATGTGGACCCATATCTCAATTTATAGTGTCATTGATGGAGTTTGAACTTTATTAGTAATCTGACTCATTCATATATTGTTAATCTTCTGGAAGGTTCTCTATTCTCACGCCAAGCAATTCTTCAACATCATGAGTCTTGTGGCTAAGTATCTGTTGCACAGTAACTGGTGGAGAGGAGATGCTTATTTTAATAATGCTGATCTCCTATCTTATCCCACTACATGTTGCTTCTAATAGATCACTTGCATTGTTAAACTTACTTGTATTTTACTCAACATTCTCAAGGCTGCTGGAGTAGGTCTTGTAGTTCTTTATGTTCTCACTTTTGTAGTAGATTTTAAGATTCTGCAAATCTGTGCAATTAATACTTGTTTGACTCAATCTGTATCTAAACAGTCAACTATGATTGTTCTTGGGGCTATCTTTGTAAACAACTTCTTGCCCTTTTTTCATCTATCCCAGAATTCCTGGTACTCTGAGTTGCATCACTCACTGGCAGGCTGTATCACTCATGTCAGCCTTCATTGGGCTCCTTCCTATATTATTTGATTCCTCCAATGTCATTATGTCTTCTGATGTTGGATGTTTCATTTGTCATTCACACTGGTGAATGATTCATCTTGCACTGTAGGTAAATTATGATGACTTGACAGGGGCTATGCAAAGGGAACATGTTGGCTGGATGAGAAACAAGGCCAAGTCGATATGCTACAGCCTCCTCTGCTCCAGTTATGACCACCTAATCAAAATAAAAAATACTATAACACAATTATTATGATACATGGCCATCAGAGAAACGTAATTCATTACACATGCTTACAGAGTGCTACGGAGCACTCTGTAGCACTCTGTAGCACGATCTAACCCGCTGATGCATAGATTGAATGCCACTCATACGGTAGACTAGGATCTGTGTGGAAGCCGAAGTTCCCGTAACAAAAGTTGAGCTCGGAGGCAGTGCACTTTGCCACACCGGCTGGTTCTACTGCTTATACTTAGTAGTGCGTAAGCTAAAGACAACGCATGTATGGCGAAATGTGCGCATTGTGGAAGCTATAGATCAGTACCCTATTTTACACCATTACTTGCCACTGTAAACACGACTCGAGATAACGGCGGCTTTGCACATAGATATTCGCCGAGTGTACGCACAATGCCAAGTTGTAGTCAGCATCCCCCAGCGTGTCATCCGTACACAACTCGGATCTGCCCCGTTCCTCCCAAAACGCACCGGTCCGCTCTATAAGATTATGTGAAATTTCAATCGGCAGAATCTAGATACAAGTTTACTCAACTCACACATGCACGGGTATCTGACACATCAACTTATCATGTCCATAGTGAGAGTGATCATAGCTATTCGCAGCTATGAATACGAAGACAATGGACGCCGATGAAGTACTGGATGTGAACGAACTATCCGCTGTGTCGCCGCCGGTGGAGAGGGCACCGCGGAGCTTATCTGCAGTGTGCATGGAACCACCAGATTTATCTCAGACCAGTGAGGATGAATGGGTGGTAATAGGAAGTTCAAGTTGTTAACTCCTCGAAGCGGATGACTCAATGATTTCATGCAAACTCACTGAAGGAGCACTGATAAGGATTCAGTGCCAGTGGCCGAACTCGGAAGTTGGTGACGATCCAAGGGTGGGTTGGCTGAAAACAGGCATTCGGAATTTTCCTATCCAATTTGCAAAATGTTGAGTTTACTGAGATCGTACTCGAGTCTCGGTCCCCACGGGGGAATTTGTGCCAGCAGTTCGGCATCTGCCTACACCTTGATTACACGTACTAACCATTGAAGAGAACGGAAGACAATTGTGGGTGAGAAAACGGGGGCCACGTTCTAGCCCGAGGTTCGAGAAGGTGCGGCTAAATGTACACGGGCGCAGTCAATACATGGTTGTAAGCAGTGCAAGACCGTGCATGCTCTCATTCGCCCTTGGTGAAAAGTAAGGTGGGATGACTGCGGCGAAACGAAGCTTACTCGGTTTGATCCAGAGAAACGATTTCATTTGCTGACTCGGGATCAGGTCACCGGTCCTACCACACTGGTGTGCAATGTGCATTTTGTCGAAGTACGTTTGCAAGCGAACGTGCGATAGGTTAGGACCCGTGGCACCCCATGTGATTGGACGGCGAAGTAGAAAAGTCCGTTCTAACGTTTGGATTCAGGATTCTTTCGTTCCTACAAGGTAAGATGCTTGTCGCTCGATGAATTCTCCGCATTTTGTGCTGAAATGACTTGGGGAGACTTATAACAGACACACCGCGCTGAAGGTTGGACTGCTGTGCTTATTAGTCATCATTCTAACAAGTCGACAAAGCACGTGTCTCGTCCATATCGTCATTCATCATTCTTCAAAAACTCTCCTCGTCGGCACTGCAGGTCACCGACAGCTATCTTTGTTCCACTGCATAAGGATTACTATCTGCGAGCACTTGTCGACAAGTGCTTGTCTTCATTCCAATAGGTCAAAGCTGACCCCTTGTCGGGCACAGAATCAGCTACAATCGTGACCTGGACTGAATATGACATTCGGTGCATCAGATGAGAGTCTTCCACATATCCCTCTACGTCCTTTCCGAAACCAAGTCGGTGGCCACAATGCGATCTATAGATTTACCAAACGTGCCGTGTGCAAGGTATGCCTGGTGATGGTCTGTCATGATCCGTTTCTAATAACATATTCTATAGCCTCTGGTTTCGAGAGAGAATCAGTTTTATGAAGCTGTTGAGCGAGAAGCACCTCCTTTACTCGGATTCATTCCACGTTATCTTGGCGTGATGCTTGTCACTTACCGACGCGTATCCAAAGGCTCGTTACCAGCCACCAATTCGAATGTACCCGATACGCATACTCCTCATCACCATTCTGCCTATCCACCGTCTCCTGACTATCACAGACCTAATTCCTACCTTTCTTGTCCCACTCAGGGGTTGACATCTCAGTTTCTGGAAGACGATGATATGTCAAGTCATGAAACATCCGATGAAATGCCCGAAGTGGTGCTTGACCGTAATCGTCACATTATTCCTGAATGGGTTCTCCATCTTGACGGGCCGAAACATGATCGTCTACGCGGTGTGATTGCATCAACACCTAACCTTGTGCGACCAGAGCCTTCATCAGTGAAGTGCAGCCCTTTCTTGCGTCAGGCTACCATACCTTCCCAGGAGGGGGAACCGCCAACCCCTTCCAACTCACCCGAATGCTGTTCAGGCGTCCTTCCAACGCCATTTTCAGAGTCCCATTCAGCTCATCCTACGTTAGTACAGGAGGGGATTCACCCACCATCCTTGCATCGTTTCCATTCCGAACCGGGAATCGGGCCGCAACAGGGAACTCCTACTTGGTTCGGGGGAACAGGGTTAACGATGGTTAACACAAAGCTCAAAGATCACGTCTTTAACACCATTCTCCGTAGGTTTCAGCGTCGGAATCGCGCCAAGTGGTCCACGAAGACAGACGACGAGGGCGAGATGGCTGATCATGAGGGTCGTCCGATTTCCTCTGCCCGACGTACTCGCTCACATCGTCGAAGGCACCCTGTGGGACAAGCAGAGAGGCTGAAAGAAGAGGAAGGAAATCTCCAGTTCCCCTTTCTTCCGCGTGTTCAGAGTGAGTCTGCTATAGACTCGATATATGCACAGGACAGTGCCAGCGATAAGGATTCCCTTACGCTTGAAGATCAGCACCAACTCGACCTCCCTCCCTGCCTCAAAAGACATCGAAGTCGATCACGATCTCTCGGGTTTTCTACCCCTGTAACACCTGTTTCCAGTAAACCTCCGTCCACATTCAACTTTGATAACTCGATCACGCGTCAAAACCATTTCATTTGTATGGAAGATCTGACCGGTCGCTTAAAACGCTCGTGCGTTCTTGACTTGAAGATGGGGACACGACAGTATGGCATGGACGCGACGCTCGCCAAAAAGAAGAGTCAACGAAAGAAATGTGACCGCACGACGAGTAGGCCCCTAGGCGTCCGGATCTGTGGCATGCAGGTTAGTATATATATAGATGGGTAAGAAATCTAGAGTTGACTAAACTGGTTTGCATTCAAGGTGTGGAACAACGCCACGCAATCATACGTAACCCAAGACAAGTACAGGGGCCGAGATATAAAAGCCGAAGAATTTGAGTCAGTGTTGGCGTCTTTCCTGCAAGATGGCGAACGTCTCCTCGTCTGGCAGATTCCTATTCTTCTCCAGAAGCTTTATGCTCTCGCTCGGATCATCAATCGTCTGAAGGGCTTCAGGTTCTACGGCTGCAGTCTCCTCCTTATCTACGACGGAGATCGTGAGGCGCAAGAAGCGTTCAGGACATGCGCTCTTGAGCACCCTTCATCCCGTAGTAAGCGTGGAGAGTCATTGGAGCGGTCCAGTACGCGGTCCAGCGCCAGTGACGAGCGGCCCTTATTACGCCGTAGTCATAGCGAAGATCTGCTTGTTGGACCAGTTGGCAAGCGTTCCAGCGGGAAGCGAAAGCGTGGTGAAGTTAACGTCCGCATCGTTGATTTCGCTCATACAACCACTGGGCGTGATTGGCTTCCTTATCCTCCACCCACAGATCGCAATATCATCCATCAGGTGTCAAGCTCTAAGGGTTATCAAGCTGAAGTGGATGTGGAAACGGGGCTGATATATGCTCGGTTCCCCCCTCACTTTCCCGAAGAGCCTGATCGCGGGTTCTTATTCGGGTTGAAGAACCTTACGGAAACCCTCGAGAACATTTGGAACGAAGAACGTGTTTGTAGGATCAAAGCTTCGCGAGATGATCCGTCTGCTGACACCAACCAGCTTCCTCCTCTATCTGCTGATGGCAAAGAGATCTTTGATGAAATCTTCAGCCGCTTGGATGATGAAGATCCCGGCATGCTCTCCACCTGATACTGTCTTGTCTTCTGTTCCCAGTGACACCTTTTCTCTTTAGTCGATGCGGTATCTATCGCGTTATATGTGGTTTTTCTACCTATATTCCACCAGCCGTATTTCTATTTGACTGCCTTCTGTTTGTCTCTGTCTGTCTTCCATCATCATCATCATTATCATCATCGGTAGACCAATGCTCATTTGCACTTTACAATTCAGCGTCGTATTCTAGCACTGTACCAGACTGTACCTCACCCTCACTTGCATTTATGTAGCGCCGTGTTCCGAGGTATATACTCGCATACTCAAATATTCAAACACGTAGATATCGATCCCTACATTATTGTGTTCTCCAACAGACTCCTGTAATTGCCGTAGCTTTTTGTGACCGCTATAAGTTTGGGGAGGTGCCAGCTCGCCCGTGTTGTTGGTAGATAATCACAGAACATGTATAGGCAGCGCCAAGTGTATCAACAGCAGTGGATTTTCATAATACAATTGTGATGCACTTCTCATTTTAGCGCGCCCCCCATAAGTGAAGCTCAGGAAGATGTTTAATTGGTAGACGGTGGTAGTTCGTACGTATCAAGTCGCCAGAATACCGCTTGGACAGAAAAAAATGGAAGCAGATACGCAGCGCATCAACACCGAATTTTCACGGTGAAAGCACACGAGGTGAGGTTCTAGAACACGCCGACAGCTCAGTTTTGGAAAGAAGTCTATTGATGAATATAACCATTATGCAAGTAGGTCCCTTGCCAACTTAGGCGAAGCTATGAGTCTGATCCTTCCTCGACGTATCTCGAACGAATGTCCTTCCATTGTTTCTGAATCATGCGGGTAAAGACAGCAAAGTTAGTTATCGGGCAGCGTTAAATGTGTCAGCTACTCACCCCCTGGTTCCAACGGTCCCAGAAATTGGTCACAGCGACGTCAAAGCCTACGTTGAAGGCAAAGGCTCCAGCAAAAATGGAGGTGACGAAGACGCCTAGAGGTTTAATTTAGTTAATCGAACTGCGCATGACTTAGAGTATCGGGTCACGTACTGTTGCGCTTCGCGATGGTATTGTAAAACGCGTTAGCGAACTAGAAATGAAGTCGTAGTTAGCATTGTGTCGTCCACTCGACTGCTTATTTGACTTACAGCCATGGTTTTTTGTGAGCAGCGAGTTGGTGGAGAAGGTTCCGGACCCGGTGCAATCCGAAAATGCGACAGACTTTGCTTTCCCACAGTCCTCAGACGCGTCAAAGTCTTGCTAATTTCTACGTTGTGCTCAACTGAAGTATTAGACATGGTCTCACTCGCTCAACTGAGACCATCAGTGCTCAGCGCCGCACGACAGTATCTCCATCGTGCTGGCCTGCACGAAAATGCAGTTTTCTCAAGACCTGCCTCCTTCGGGACTAGTCTCGCCGATGACATGTGGGGAGGTGAAGACTCGGCTGCTCCTCCACTAGACAAGCCTCCGATGGGCCCAAATACATATTACAACCCCATAACTGCAATAATGCAGAGGGAACCAAAGAAGGACATCGCGGAGCGTTCAAAGCCTTATCACCTTCACGTATACACTACACACAACAATTGCCGCGTCGTCTTCACCTATCCGTCCGGCAAGCTTGTCAAGAACGGATGGTGGACAAGTGGTTCGTGTGGTTTCAAGGGAGCGAATAAAAGCAGCTATGAAGCGGGGTACCAATGTGCTGTGCGCGCTTTCAAGCGCGTCGAAGAGGAAATAGCTAGGCCGAACTTCAAGGATGGTGGTGTGTCGCCTGTCACACTTGCGCTGAAGTTTAAGGGGTTCGGGTGGGGGAGGGAAGCGGTGCAAAAGGCGTTCATGACTTCTGAGGGAGATAATATTCGGGCATCAGTGGTGGTAGTGGAGGACAGGACACCTATAAAGATTGGAGGGACGAGGGCAAAGAAAGCAAGACGACTATAGTATTGTGCGCTGTTCGTATTGTGATGTATCTGCTGAATCAATTATGGTCATTCGCAGCATGCACTCCCAAGCAGGGTTCTTCCAGTCTGCTAATCTGCAATCCACTAGTCTTTCTTCATTGCAGGTAGGAAGTATCGATAAGGATCTCCATGGTGTCTTGTCAATCAATGGCAATATCATATATTTTCGCTCCACAGCGCAATGCATATCCGCACCGGCTGGCAAGACTCTATGTGTTACAATCATAGCGCTCTAAATACCCTGTGCTCCGTTGGTGATATCTGTTATGGTTATAGCACAATCATTCCATCCGAGGGGTGGCCTAAACCGTGAAGAAAGGGTCTGTCGTGTATTTCTCGTAACCAGGCCTTGCCATTGACTTGAGTGCGACCCTTTTGTCAAACTCTATGTCTTCTATAAGTGCTTCTGTGAGTAGAAAGTTGTCAGTGTGGGTGAAAGTAGTCCAGGCACAATCGCACCTCGTGAAGTGTAACGCAGTTCCTGACGGATATATCCCAAAACTAGAGCCTTCATATCGTATCCATAAAAATCGGTCTTAAACTCGTGCATTATGTGAATTTCCTGGGCGCCATGATTCAGGACGGTTCAAAGAAGGGGGGAAAAGACGTACCGCAGTCTTGCGTTTATTGTTGTAAAAGGGATTCCACCCAAAACTCATGACCATGGGCAAGACGCATACATCTTGGTCAGATAAAGATGATGATGATCCATCAGAAGGGGTAACCTGGGCATAGCCGTAATAGACTCCTGTCCCTGCATCGATCATGGGTGGGAGGGAATCGTCAGGAAGATTTGCTGTGGTTCATACCCGTGGATTTAGTTCGATCAAGATTCAGTCTGGGAACATACCAGTTGGACATCCGAGGTCTTTGCTCCCTCTACCAAATCCATGCTGCACGGGGCCTGACAATTTAATTGGAAACGGGGCATCTGGAACGTCAGACCCAACGATATCTGGCCTACTCGTGCGGAAAGACTCGTCTGGGACTCCATCTGGCCCCGCGGAATCCTTACTGGAGTCTGGCACGTTCGGAGAAGATGTGATCTCTCCGGCTGCATCGCCCATTTTGAAAAAATTAAGTAGAAAAATTAGTAGGGCGAACATGAGAGAAAGAGAGATGCACAGGTGCGGACTACCGGTGCCGCACGGCCACGCACGGCATATAAAGGTCGTGATGCTGTCGCAGCTAAGTATGAACCTAGGGACATGATTACTACTGGGGTGAGCGTGACGTGTGAACATCATTGACCAATCTGACTTTCCATTACTATCATGTCAAATTTCGTTCCATATCAGCAAAGCTATGGCACCTATCAACAGCCTTATCCTATCGTATATGCAACTGGTTCAGGACCTCCCCAGCTGCTTCAGCCAGCGGTGGCGCATTATCCCCATCGATTCCCGCCGCCGCCCCCAGCAGCAGCGGCAGCAGCAGCCTCGACTTATCAGTTTCATGTCCAGCCTCCGCGCCAACCAAGCGTGGCAGTCGCTGAGATCATACCGGATATCTCTCCAGAAATAGCTTCCAAAGAAGTGCAACGGCTCATCCTTGCCCAGCTACAGACCTCGGAATATGATTCAATAGAACCCCCCGCGTTGAAGAGACTAGAGAAAGAAGTCGTAACCTGTACGCAGCCGCCCTTTATTCTATTAATTATCGAGCTCACACCTCAGAGAGCAGTCATTCAGAATCTATATGAACGCGCCCACCAGTACGCTAATCTTGCCAATCGCGCAATACCGATAGCAAAGGACATGCTAATGGCATGCGAAGAGCGAGATTTGAAAACAAAGGATCTACGCACAGTCGCTGCAGAATTTACAAAAGCTTCTGGTACGTAATGTTGAACCATGCTGACTTGAATGTTTGACTGTGGATTAAGCTGAACCAGCCGAACCGATTTTTGAAATGCCACCTTCACGATCGCAGTCGCCCGAACTCCTTCCTTCAGATGACGAGAATATGCCGCCCGTTGTGCCAGGGACTCTACGTCAGCTTCCGACCCATTTCCCCGCATTGCCACCGAAGCATACATATCTCAGAACACCAGTGAGCCCATCTGTGTGTCTTCTAATATATCGACTGACCTTGTTCTTCAAAGGCCTCTCCCCCTAAGAAAGCCGCGCTTCCTTCACTCGAAAGGAAACTCAAGACTGCAGGGCTGGTTCAGGAGTCGTTAAAGAATCTGCTCACAGCAACAGAAGATAATCTCGGGCAAGAAGATGGCGAATTGCTGGGTCATATTGTTAACTGGGAAGCCTCCACGTACCCACGAAAACGTTGGAAAGTTTCTGCTTAACCATTTGATTTCACATATACTTAGGCCTTGTGGGCGTCTAGTCCTGCTTTTTGTCCCGATCCAATAATCTATTTGGGCGGGTCTGGTCCTTGTCATGACTCCTTGATTGTTTCCATCTTACTCCATGACGTTAGGCAAATTTAAAGGTTACTTCATGACGCGTGAAGTCTAATAATATTAGCATCCAGTGTCCGACAAAATGTCCGAACTATATGAATGATCAGTCTACTGTAAAAAAGTACGCTCCCATCATTCCGACCACCAACATGCCACCTCCGGTCATCAATATCACAATCCATAAACTGAACACCATGCAGTTCCGCCATGTCGGAGCTGGCCACCCGATCTATCCCAAGATTGTGGAGATTGCAAGAGCTCTCGCCAGTCGCGATAGCATAGACGGTGTAGTCACTCCGGATGAGATGTTACCCTCGCACTCGTCCTTCCTTGCTATTTTGAATGCTACCACTGGTGTCCTGGAACATTCCGGTCTTCATCTTTCCAGGCTCGATCCCTTGTCACGCCAGAAGATCATATGCTTCTCAGTTGATCTCAATAATATGGTGGTAAGGGATGTCACCCAGGGCTCCGAGGGCATCCCAGACTTTCCCTTACCCGCAGACAAGGGCGTGCAAAACGCATTGAAGGTTTTCATAACCGAACAAGTGAATGAGTGGAAGAAGGATGAAGAATCACGAAGGCAGGAGCAAGAGACTAAGAGGAAGCAAGAACATGAACGTTGCAGAGAGAACGCAATCGTAAGTGCGATGCTCGTGATATTCCTTGGTGATCCCAGAATCCTGAAGTCTCCGTGGTAATATCATATCCTTTAGGTCTTCTTGCACCATCTTGTGGAGTTGGACCTTGTAGATCCAGCGGTGCTGGAACGTGATGCCCCCATTACTGCCTGCCCACTGTGTTCCCACGACCTCATCCGATGCCGCGTCTGCGGTATACATGCGTGCGAGAACTCAAGCTGCAAGGCATCTTCCATCGTCTCAGTCGTAGGATGCTCTTACCACGACCGAGAGTTCTTTTGCATTCCCTGCGCAACACCTCAAACTGGCCAGTGTCCAATATGCTCTCAGTGGTATTGCATGGAGTCACTGAGCTGGTGTGTTGGACGGCCTGAAGGCGACGCTCAGCGGACCCCTAGACCTAACCACACAGCGTTCGAAATCATCATTCCTATCAGAGACCCAGATACTGAGGACGACCACCAGTCGATTAGCCACGAGCATCCTCCAAGGATCGCTCCTTGTCGGAACTGCATCCGCCATGACCTTGCTTCAGCGTGGCGCCGCTGTGGTAACGTTTACTGTTGGTCCCGTAATCGCAATCGCTTCCGAGACATGGTCTGCTCAGACTGTGAACCAGGAGGACGTACATGCGCATGTTCACGGACATGGCTGTGCGGACCCTGCGCAGGTGACCCATCCGGGACGCCGTTCATCGAATGCCGAAGTTGCAAAATTGTATATTGCCAGGACTGGTGTGCATACATCCAGACTTGTACAGTTTGCAGTAGGACAAGGCTGTGTGATGACTGCATCGAAGAGGAGAACGATACGGAACAGCTTCAACTCTCGTATCCACGGTTTACTGAGAAGTGCGGGATATGCCGTCGCCATATCTGCGATGACTGCGTACCCAGCTTATCGAGGTGCTCTAGTTGTGGTCGCTACTACTGTCATCGGTGTAGATGGACTGAGGCAGCGCATTCGTGCAAAACTTGTGCGTCCCCCATGTGTAGGGATTGTACAAGAAACTGGGATGATTGCCGGCAGTGTATATATGCAAAATATCCAGGGTCAGTCATTAAAGCACAAAGTTGATCGAGTATCGTGCTGACCTTCAGTACAGTTACAGGGGACACCGTGCTAGCAGTCTCGTGATGTTCCCGCCCTTGTACTAATGGACGGGCTTGGTGCCAGTGGGTAGAATATATTAGTGGGCTGACCGGGAGCTAAATATTGATCGACACACACACAAGTACGGAGTGTCGAGTAATGAACCGTAATATACGATTTCACGGTTGAAATACCTTCTATGCATGTATTATATTATTTCAGGCTCACCGACACTCTCGAATGACAAGCAAGACATTGTTATGAACTCAACATTCAAGAGCACCTATCCCATTCGGTTCGATGGCGATGGTGGTCTTAAGCCTAATTCACTTATATGACAGCACTGGACCACAAGTCCGGGGACTCCAGGACCTAGAGTGCTCGGCCCAGCTTGATCACCAGTCCCGCTATTGTCCCCTGTGAAGGGAGTCAATATCTTGAGACAGTATGGTAACATAAGCACGTACCTGAAACAGGAGGAGGCCCTAAATCTAAAACCATGGTACCAGGCGCGGCATTCTTTTTGCTGCGAACAGGTCGGGCTTTAGGACGGGGAGCCTTCTTGGCTGGAATTTCTTTTAATGTGGATTCTACATCAACCTTTTTCCTTTTTCCCACTTTTTTGGTAGACGTTGATATGTCGCCAACGCCCTCAGGGGTGGTGCTAACGTCAGGATCTGCTGACTTTGATTTTGATTTTGACTTCGCCTTCGCCTTCTCATGGCTCTTGCTCTTGGTCATGCCTAGAACTTCTCGAGTGCGTTTCTTGTGAGTTTCAGGGTTGACGCTGATGACCGGTTCAAGGAACATTATGGCCGAATCAGTCGTCCTTGTGGTCACGTGAATACCTGGGAGTCTGGGCATGGAACTTGACTCCTCGATAGGCACCAATTCATTCACCTCAGTGGACTCATCGGCAGAAGTGGATGCTTTTCTCTTTCGAGATGCTGCTCGAGATGACTCTGCGACCATGTCCATTGAGGGTTGAGCGATGACGCTGAAAGTTGCTGTTTGAGATTGTGTTTTGGTTGGTTGCGAGGTCTTCGGCCGTTGGAGATTATTATACCTGTTTCGACACTAAAGTAAAATAAATGAAAAGGAAACATAGGCCACTGAAGCAATGAATGTTACCATGCTATCGGTGCGCCCGCTGCCTAGTCGATTGCTGATCTCCTTCCAGCTCAAAGTGCCTATTTGTTGTATTATGGCCAAAAGATCTTGGTCTTCTTCTTCGGTCCACTTCCCTTTGGTTATCGCAGGGTTGAGAATATCATTCCAACGATCACGACACTGATCATTATGACGACCTGGGATGGCGGATGCGACATTCACCCAGGAAGTACCGTACGCTCGGACTGCGAGACGTAGGCGTGAGTCCTCCTCATCAGACCATGCTTTGTGCTTCAGAGTAGGGTCAAGAGTGCGTTGATAACGGTTCTGGCACTGGCTAGGGGTAGCATCTTCTGAGACTTGACAGGCGACTGTGCAGTAGATTTGATGAATGTGGATACAAAAGCGCAATGTTGCAAGACACATACCTACAGACCAGTTATCGTGACCGAAAGTAGCAACAGCTTTCAATAAACGCTCGTCAGAATCTGGTGTCCACAAATGAATTTTTCGCGTTGTGCCGTGTATCATGCAGTCGAGAGGCGTTCGGTGGGTCTGTTATGTGTAGATTGTCACACGTTTTCTGTTAGCTCAAAAAGTAGACATACCCCGAGTTTATCTACCACGACCTCCCAGTCTACTTGCTCGTTCCCGTATTCGGCGACGAGCCCTTTGAGTCTGGTAGTTTCGTCTTGTGTCCAAGGGCCATGATTGAAACATGGATGCTGATCACCCAACCAGCATATCTCACACTCTCTTGGTGTACGCGTATACATGGATGATGAAGAGACCTGGCGCACGCGAGTTAACAGGTAGTTGCGGATATGATATTATGAAACATACCTTCTCCGCGATACGATCCCAATCAAGACCCTCCTTGTTCAACTCGAGATAGTTTGACGGTTGATTACTCAAACTTGTAAAAACAGGATTGCCTCTAAGAGAGAATTTGATAAGATGATATCATACATAGAGCAAGACGAACTTTCGTTGAGCATCTAGAGCATGCATGCGGTAGTTTTCGGTCCTCACAGCTTCTCTCAGAGCCTCAAGGTCCTTCTTGGTCACTGCAGCTACGAATTAGGGAGATAAGTGGCGTAATGGGTCGAATAACGCACTGGGATGAACCTCTGTCAAGCTTAGATATCGACTGCGCCGCGCAGCCTCTTCGTAAAAGGGGGAGTCCTAGGGGAAATCTTCAGTAGTAGAGGAACAAGCAGGCGCTATTCTCACCTCTGAAAGCAATTCACTGGGGGTCAAGAGTCCAGATGCCTTGACGGAGCCTGGAATGATGATGGAGCCTCCGACATCGATGTCTGGCTCGCCATCCAGATTAGCATCAGCAGGTTCCTAGAAGTTATCATTGAAACTGAGTGCGAAATATGCAGAATACGACATACCAGAAGTTTGTCGACAGTTTGAAGCTCTGCCTCAAGTCTTTCCGTGTATACTTTCAAGGCGTGTTGGTGGTCCTTGTTAGCCTGGACGGCCTCTCTCACTACCTCTGTGCAGTTTGTCTGCGACATAACTATAAGTTCGAGATGCGAAGTTGACGTGCGACTCGGAGCTAAAGTTAATTTAAAATTATAGGGACGCGTGCACAAATTGGGTTCAGTACACTTGCAGGCCATCCACCATCATGGCTCACGGAGCAGCTAAACGAATTGGTACGATTTCATCATACAACCACAATTCTCTTTGAAAACATACAAATTTTTCAGCGCTACAGAATGAACAGGCCCTCCGAAATCTGAGGCTTGGAATGTTCATCCCCACCCTCCTCTCTGCAGTCTTCCGTCTTTTATTCCGGCGAAGCTCTCTTCCTCCATCCAAGGGCTCGCTGGCACTCTACGTTGTGACGTATCTCCCTGCCTTATTCCTTTCACGCTATCTTGAAAGGATGGGCACTACAAGACGGGACCCAACAACTGGAGCACTCATCTCTCCCGGAGAAGACCTTAATCAACCGGGAGTAACAGAATGGTGTTTCGATATACTTTATGTCACATGTGAGTTGATGTGCCTTTAACGGTTTGGCTGAACACATAGTTTATCTGTCTAGGGGCGTGTCAGATCAGCAGTGGGGCGTTCGGTGATTGGGTTTGGTGGTTCTACCTTGTGGTAAGTGCCTGTGTGGCCTCACCTCATGTTATAAATTGCTCTTGCTTTACCAGATCCCATTGTACGCCGCATACAAACTATGGAGTAACTTCATTGGGCCAATGCTCGGTTGGTCCCGTGGTGCGAGCTCTCAGGCCGCGGAAGGGGGTGGCGAGAAGGAAACGGTCAGCAAAAGGCAAGAAAAATTACGAAAACGCTCAGAACGGGGTGATCCACGTATCCGCTCTGTGCGAAAGTAGTCCTATCTGCATTTGTTAAAAGAACTTCCACACTTGTTTTCGATATTCTGTGACTACACAGTGCAAGCTTGCGATCCAAATATAGATGACTACTTTGTGAGCACGTGACCACTCTCGTGGTCTTGATGAGACGCGGTCCCTGACCTCTCTCTTTACCATTCACTCACTAAGTGCGGGCTCATTATCCTACAGCTACACATTTCATTGTTTCAGATATGGAAACAACTACTGAACAACAGGTGACAGGACTTAGTACTGATACTGTCGCTTTCAGGGATGCACATGGTGAAATTGGCGCGACACCATGCGCATATACCCAGGTCCTCATCGACCCATTATGCTCGCAAGAAAGGCCACCTTCAGAGGACTACCAGGCAAGCACATAGTCCACCTGTACTTGACTTATTGGTGCTAATTGGTCCATATATATGCACAGTTGGCTGAAGAGTCGCTTGTATCGCAGCTACCTCCTGACCTTTCTCCTCCACTACTACAGTCGAGTGACCTGAAGGATTCCGAACATAATATAGGTAATTTGTCTCTGCCAATACTACTGAGGAGCGTATCAACTTTACAATGACCTATGATCTTCTTCGATTCACGTCGCAGAACCCGTGTCAAATACATCAGCAATGTCCGGAATTACCGCCAACGAAGGGATTCTTCAAACAGATAAAGTAGCCTTACATGATTTGCTGTTATCTGAGCAAGCTAAGACAACGCACAGACCATCAATGCATCTCTCTCTCCTCTTATATCACGGAGAGGTACTCCGCATGTTGAATTGAACAGCACGAGCGACCTACAGATGATTCGCTTCCAGTATAGTGTTGGGACAGTTCAACCACCTCGCCTTCAGTCACGCGAAGTAGATGACGAAGCGCCGTCGAACACCTCACCGGACAACGCACGGTCGTATTCTTTGCCTCCCAGCTCCAGCCCTCCCCATATTTTTTCTTCGTCCCCGTTCGCATCATCTCAGTCGTCGCTCATCGAAATTGGAGATTACAAAGTTGCAGACAGGGTATATGCGCCGTGTTTTCTTTGTGTATCTGCTGACAAGTTTCAGGCTATGAGAATGGAATCAGACGATCAGGATCTCATCAGTTCTCCGGACGGTGTTTACCCAGATACCTTAGAGGAAGCATATAACGATCATGATGATACTGACACATATCAACAGCGACAAATGGTTTGTGTTGTTTTCTTCGGAAGCCCGGTTATGATCAATTGCATGGATTATAGCATGAGCCCCACGATCTCGCCATCCATGGCGGAAGCCCAAAAACTAACGAGGGCGCCTCCAACATTCAGGAAGTTAAACCATTGCCGCAGAAGCGATCCAGACCGGAAAGAGAGGTGGGGTAGAGTGCTCGGTCGGTTTTAACGGCTTAAAAATATATGCTTAGATTGGTGTCCTTGGTCTGCGTGACAAGAACCTATCACAAAGCCCAGATGATACGCGGTTGGCTAAACGCATGGTAGTTAGAACGGTTTTTCTTGTTGACGGTGTGCTATCATTTATACGAGTTCACTTGCAGAAAACACACGATGGTAGAGGACATCTGCCACCAGCTCCAAAGCGCGCCACCTTGGCGTTTCAGCAACGGCAGTTCCGGAAACTCATCACTCCGTTTCGTTCACCTTTGATGCCGAACAAGGATGAGGGTGCGCCATCAGGGGATCTATTAAAGTCCAAGAGCCATTTGCCGATTGTTCCCGCACCACCGCCAGCTCCGAAAATACCACTCACACCTCAGAAACATCACCGTGCCCATGTAGCTCCGTCCGTTACACCAGTTAAGACCAGAGTTCGCACTCTCAAAGCGGCGTCACAATTCAAATCTCCATTAAGCATTTCTGCTTCAGCATCGTCCGGAAGAGGATCATCGATTCGACTGACACCTACGGTCCAGTCCCTAGAACGAAAATTACAACTTCTTAAGCGCGCTGTCAAAGTGAAAGAAAACGATGAGGAAAATACACTCATCAGGCTCATCAAGAAATGGACGGAGGCAGGGAGGGAGGTCGCATATGAGCTTTGGGATTTGGTGAAAAGTTCTGCGAACAAGGGAGACGGTGTTGGTTGGGACGGGGGTAGGGGCAAGATGGGCTCACGGGACTCGAACTGGGGTTGGGACTCCCCTGGAATCAAACGCGAAGGCTATCCGGAGAACGAGATGGATACTGCTGTGGAGAATTCCTTGGACGAAGGCTACACCAACAAGATCCTTTCAGAAGATGATGAACAAACACGGAACACCATGGGTACGATGCTCCGACAGCTTGGAATCGCTACAGAGACATTGGGATGGGATGAAGATGCAGAGGTTTTCTTCGATTAAAGCTATGTTTTATTCAGGGTTGTGCTGTTCTACATCAAGGTAATGGTAGTCGAAACATGGAAGTTTTAATTAACCATCGTCTTATTCTTCAATATTCCTTAGCGCCTCTTCAACAATCACTTCGGGGAATTCATTCTGTATCCAGTGCGAGGCATTCGGAACAATCACGGCTCTGATGTCTTTAAATTTTGCGACAGTTTCCAGCTTCAAAGCGCCATTAAATCGCAGATCTTCAATCAGAACCGTCAATGCAGCAGCAGTAGGCTTGTCGGCGATCAGATGCGAAAATGACCACAGCACGTTACCCTGAAGCAATTCAAACTATCAGTGCTGTCGATTCTAGAAAACCACACACAAACACTGACATCGATGTGATCATCGGAGTTGGTTGATCTTCCGATCTGGGTCCCTAACACTCTCCAGATAGCATCTTCTCTCGTCCATAGAGGATTCAATGCTATATAATCTTCTGCGGTGAGGTTAGTTCTGCTATGGTCGGAAAGCTTGACTTTCCAATCCACCATCCGCTCTGCAGCTATTTCCAGAGATGGGTCGATAAGAACCACCGAAGTATGTTTAGTTTTTGGCAGGTACTTGAGAAGTGATAATACCACGAGCGCGCCCATTGAGTGGCCAATGACGATATCATACTCGGCAGCTTGAAGGTACGGTAAGAGGTCATCTGCCAGTGTCTGTACTTTGAAGTCAACTCCAGGCTTCCTGAGAGCATGTCCAAGAAGATTCGGAGCAATGACCAAGTATCCTATGATCGTCATATAAACAATATATCAGTGCTGTAATGAGGCTTCAGCGAAGAAGACCCGCCTTTGGCTGCAAGCGTCGATGCAACACGGTGGAACGTGTGCGAAGACGAATCCAAACCATGTATGAGGAATGCTCTCCTATTTGCAGTAGGGGATCCCCACTGACTTGCAGACGGAACAGTGGTCATGGTAGTCGTAGTGAGCTCACTGAGTTGATCACCTCGGTTTTGCCGATGATGTTCACCCAGTGACGGCAGACGTACGGGGAATACCGAACGCGACAGTTGACCAAAACTTCATGGTAGCGAACTAGACTGGTAAGCCAGGCTGGTCACGAGCCTAGTAGCGAACCACTCGCGAGCAATGCGTCATCTAAAGAAAATTTAAGCGACTAGTCCTCTTTGGTATCTCCCGACCCGCCACCATACCGCTCCATACTACGGCGTCCACTACGAAAGACTGCGACTGTCATGACGCCGCTATTTATAATGTTAGACTGGATGAGCTGGGTTGCTCCTGCCATTCTACTGGAAGTTGGTGATCAAGCGCAATCAAAATGGACTTGCTGTAGCCCGAAGGCCTAGAGCTTGTAGGCATCTTGATTTAAGCTGCACAGGTATGTGTACCGTGCTTTCGGTGCTGCTCCACAGCCTCAAGCTTCTCGTTAGACGCCCAGGACACCAGGCTCCTGAATGCCATGAAACTTAAATTCAAGGAAAAGTCGTGGCGAGGGCCGCGAGGTTGATGGATCAGTCTTTCCTGACTATTATACTTGAAAGAGATCGACAAGGAAAAGATAATTGTCATTGTGGCAGTGGTCGTCTGCAAGAGATGGATGTTAACAGAGGCAAGAGTGAAGGTCACGTATGAGCGCTTGCATATATGAGCTTTGGGTTTTCTGATTAAAGGTAACGTTCATTCAAGTTTAACTTCGAGACGCAAAGTTTGTCAGGCTCAAAAAGCAGTGACCGATTGCATCTTAGAGCACCATATGGTGCTTATGGACCTCCACCACTGTCGCGTTGAAGTCGCAAATATGTGTCTATTAACGGCCAACCTCAATGTAGGACGCATTCATATAGAGAGGGAAAAAATGGTATTGCAACATTGGTGATTTACTGATGCCGCATAACAATATGCAGGTGCTTATGTTGAGGAGGACTGTCAAAAACCTCAAACATTCCATCCACAGGTGATAATGGTTTCTTGTGATCTAGTTCGAGCTCGTTGAGATTACCATCGAAGGTGTCGTCAATAGGCAGGTCGACCTTCCAAAATATCAGATCATTAGCATCTGATTGTAGGTATCACTCACCTTCCATTGCTTGAGATTCTTAGCATCAAAATTATTGAATTCATGCTGATTCTTTTCCTTGATCAAATCTTTCAGGTTACCGACGACCTCCGTCGATATAATCTCGACTGGGAATATGTTCCAGGGGTGGTCGCCTAAGACTAAGCAATTGAGTTTGATTGACAGGTGGCTGGCTTTGCGGGAAACGCCTTAATCACACGGATTCACACCGCGATCAGTATGGATGAAAGAGGCGATATCGACAGACAACTCACCAGCAGGTAGCGGCTGGACAACAATATGCAGGTGCTTATGTTGAGGAGGACTGTCAAAAACCTCAAATATCTCATCCACAGGCGACAATGGTGTCTTGTGATCTAGTTCAAGCTCGTCGAGATGATTACGCCCGAGGGTGTCGTCGACAGGTAGGTCGACCTTCCAAAGTATCAGATCACTCACTTTCCACAGTTGGAGAGTGTCTGCAGCCAGTCGCGAAATGCAGGCTTCTTTTCCTTGATCAAACCTTTCAGGTCGCCAACAGTATCTGTCCATGTAATCTTGACCGGGAATATGTTCCTGGGGTGGTCGCCTAAGACTAAGCAGTTGAGGTTGAATTTGGAGGTCATTGGAAACAAGAGTAGATGGCGCGGGTTGCACAGTCACTGCGAGTTGTCCAAAAATTCCGACGGCTTAATGTTGGCTGAGAATCTGGGGTGCTACCATGGGTCTTATAGCTACGTTTTTGCAGTAGATTTTGCGATTTCGTCGCCCCTTTCTTTTTCGTAACATCAAGGTAATTTGTGGCAATGATTGATTACTGGAACCATGCAAGCCCAATTGTTCTACTCTTGGATATTCCTCAGCGCCTCTTCGACAATCACTTCCGGGAATTCATGCTGAAGCCAGTGCGAGGCATTTGAAAAGAGCACCGTTCTAACCTCTTTGAATTTTGCGATGGACTCAAGCTTGGAAGGTTCGCCAACCAGAATCGTCAATGCAGTAGCAGCGGGCTTGTCGGCGATCAGATGCGAAAATGACCACGGCACGTTACCCTGGACCGATTCAAACATCAGCACCCTTGATTCTAGAACACCACTCGCAAACACTGACATCGATGTGATCATCGGAGTTGGTCGATCTTCCAATCTGGGTCCCTAACACTCTCCAGATAGCATCTTCTCTCGTCCATAGAGGATTCAATGCTATATAATCTTCTACAGTGGGGTTGGTTCTGACATCGGTGGAGAACCTGACTCTCCCATTCACCATCTGCTCTGCAGTTATTTCCAGAGATGGGTCGATAAGAACCACCGAAGTAGGTTTAATTTTTGGCAGGTACTTGAGAAGCGATAGTACCACGAGTGCACCCACTGAGTGGCCGATGACGATATCATACTCGGCAGCTTGAAGGTACGGTAAGAGGTCATCTGCCAGTGTCTGGACTTTGAAGTCAACTCCAGTGTTCCTGAGAGCATGTCCAAGAAGATTTGGAGCAACTACCAAGTATTCTAAGGTGTCAGAATCAAAAGATAAGCGCTATCAAAATCCTCGAGCGAAGAAAACTAGCCTTTGGCTGCAAGCGCCGATGCAACACGGTGGAAAGTGTGCGAGGACGAGTTTAAACCATGTATAAGGAGTGCTCTTTTGTTTGCAGTAGGGGATCCCCACTGACTTGCAGATGGAACAGTGGTCATAGTAAGGTCAGAGGTTAATAAATACTTGATCAAATGATTGTGGCTTTAATAATAATACTAAGAGCAATAATACTCGGGCGGCTACTCTGTCACCGGATAGCGGGAAAATGTCAACGACATTATGTACGAACAGCGGGCTGGGAAATTGATTTTGTGGTAAAAAGTATTTCAAGCGTGTGCGGGTTGTGCAGTTGTGCACACAGTAAAATTTTTCAGCTAGGTCACTAGGCTCGAGACTAGCCCGGGTACTGAAATGCCCAGCGCGTAGGAAATGGCGGGAATTTAAAGGATGTAGAGCATATCCTGATTGGAATAACCACAAGACGCCGATGAAATCACTATCGAGAGGTGCCACGAAACAATATACATGATTTGATGAAAGGAAAACAATCTGCACTGCTCAGGCGTCGAACAGTAAACCCGATCTGAGGATCAGTGACGATATGTCTAAGTCGTTAACAATCGTGCCGACCGCGTACTCTTGAGTCGGCATTCAGGCCGGTCCGGTGTATAGTTGCTCGCGTGTAGTGGATCGAACCAAGACCTACTATGGATACTAGTTAAAGAGAGTTAGATGGGGACACGCCTCAGGGTATTAGGAACAACAAGGGGTTTTGAGAAGTAAGTACATGATCGAAGGCGATCGTCATAAACAAAAATAACACTGCAGAACACCATCCCTTCTCTACACAGCTTACAATTTTATTCTTGGTAGGGGAATTGCATCCATAATAGCATCTGGACACTCATATTGAATGAAGTGACCGATGCCAGTAAGGAGTTTAACATCCAATCTCTCGATGTCACGAGGGATGTGCTCCAAGAGACAATTCGCGCTGAGCTTCGGATCTGATGCCAGAATGGTGATCTTGACGTGAGGTGGTACGTTTTTGAGTGCAATGGAAGACCATGATGTGTTTCGCTGTTCGATGCGAAGGCAGAACCTGTCAGCAACGCATCCAATTTCAACACCTGAAACATTACCCGAAAAACCTCGATAGTGTTGGGATCGATCATTGCCACTCCCAACGCTCTTAACACGCAGTCGCGTCGTGACCAAGCAGGGTGCTCAGCCATGTGCTCTTCCGCGGTTTTGATATTCTTCGTCAACTCTAAAAACAGATTCTGATTCATTTTGCCCTGCGCTTCTGTAAGCTCGAGGGGAGGATCAACGAGTATGACCGTGGTTTCTTTTGTTTTGGGCAAGAACGGCAAGAGCGACAAGTTCACTTGGCATCCAAAAGAATGACTAATGATCACGTCGTAGGACGTGTCCATGGCGAAATATGGTCGGAGGTCTTCTGCAAAGTCGGATATCCGATAGTCGGTGCACCATCTCCCTCCATGCCCAAGGAGGTTCGGTGCCATAACAAAGAAACCTGATCATCTGTTAGAAAGATCATCACTAAAGAATTACACCTGACTTACCTTCTGCTACCAGCAGTTGAGCGATACCCTCCCACGAATTCGAGCACATAGTCATGCCATGAATGAGAAGGGCCCGCCTGGAAGCGGCAGGAGAACCCCACTGGGACGCTGAATGGGACATGAGCACACTCAGATAGCTTAGATGTGTTCAAGGACTTGGTAGGTTGCACGGCAATGATCAGGAAAGTGTATGTAGAACCGTAAATAAGAGAGCTCACCTTCTTGGATGAAAAGTCTGAGGGAGATTATTCGACAGGAAAGGAATTAATACGCTGAACTTTGAGACGGAGAATCAAAGTTGAACAATGTATGAGGCGTGTAATGAGGAGATTGAGTACGAAAAAGAATTAGAAGGGTGGGTACGTACGAGGCTCAGGCTGTCACGATTTGACATGCGTTGACAGGAGAAGCGACAGCAAACCCGGCCCCATCAGCTGCAGCTCGCGAATTTGCTTATTCGGGGATGATCAATAGCAAGCGTATAATGGTTGCAGATAAAAACTAGGGGGCGTAGACGCCCCATGGATCATACAGATGTTGCGAAACGCGAGTGGGTAGCATGGTTGTTGTAATCTGTGTTTAAAATTATGATAGAGAAGTGCGTACCGTGTGAAATACCAGGGTAAGACTTGCCAAGAAGCCAACCTAATAGTGGCATTGAGTGATACCCGACCGAAGGCTGCCATTGAGAAAAAATGCATAGGGCTATCTAGTGATCATAGCTTGACCAGACACAGACATAAAACGTTCTGGGTATCTCGCCCTGATCCGTGCTGCTAGATCCTCCTCAAATATCTGGTCCTGACCCAGCTGATTCCCAAGCGTTAGCCACCTGCAGAGCGTCATCGTCAGTACACCATATCATATGGAATCGTTCGCTGCCACCTACCCAGGTCGCGTATTATGCTTTCTTCCGAAAATCTCAATCTTCCGCCCGCCAGGACACATCCTTTCGATCAGCCCGTACACCTCATCTGGTTTGCGACTCGTCTCGCGCACCTCGCTCACGATAACGTCAGTATCAAGTCCCCGGTTCGCCCAGGAGGGGAAAATGAGGTTCCCCGCAGCATCTGTGCGAGTTTTGACACCGACAAGCATGTGCTCTTTCGTGTGGTTGAGCCAGTGGCCTGTACGGCCAGTGCGGATCACGCGTTGGAGCTACTGTATATAAGTACATAGAAGGGTTGAGAGGGTTTATAAGGCATGTACCTGGTTAGTCTTGACCCAGACTACTTCATCGACACGAGTGTACCCCCATACTCGGAGGCATTCCCGACCAACTTCCATTGCACGTCCGGTGACCCAAAGGAAGAGCAATCCTTCGTCCTGGAGTGTCGGTATCGGCATGGCACGCATTTCATCGTCCGTCATCGTGCCATACGGAAGCTATTCAAAATTCACTCAGACTCACGTACGGTGGAATGGTCCTATAAGACGCGCACGCTCATGTGTATATCCCATGGTGGGTCTGCCATTATAACGTGGAATTTTCCTAGCACTGAGTAATCGAAACGGCGCAGGTCACAATTGATCCACTGAGGAGGAAGCTGGCCGAACAACGTCAGCATCTACTATGCCGAGACACAACCACCGTACTTACCACTTGCGTGTCTCTTCCATCAGGGCCCATCCCCAGTTCAATCTTGAAAGGTTCCTTTAACCTCTGAGTTTTCCATGTATCAACCGGAGCAAGGGGCCCATCCTTCTCGTCCCAATCAATCTCGAAATGTAAATACCGACATGGCGCTTTCTCTTTTCCCCTGCCACCTGCACCGAGACCAGACGGCAATGATACGCGCGCCCCAGTACCAGGTGGAAAAGGAGTGATCGAAGGTGATTGTGAGTATGTCGGCTCAGAGTAACACGTGTTGAGGTAGGAGCAATGTCCGAGGCTGGGGTCTGTGTGCGGTCGAATGAGAGGGCGGAAGTGCAAGAGGTTGCAGAAGGGATGGTTAGGCGGATTGGAAGGATCAGCCTCGGAGCGAGATTTGGCGCACTCTACCTTGGTGATGTAGGTGCAGATTGGTTCAAACCCACCATTGAAAGATCGAAACTAGTGCTGAATGTTCAAGAAAACGCAGCACATAAACATCAGTAGTACACGTACACGTTCTGCAAGTAGCCGGCCCTTTGCCGTGCTCTTCTGAAGGATTGCGTAGACCTCCTTCAAATCTTTACTTAAATTTCCTAAGGGAGTGTTCATAGAAATGGAAGAATCATTTTCTCCGTTGGATGACGAGATCTCATCAGGTGTGTTACCAGCAGCAGAGTCTGCATCCTCGTCTATGGGTGCTCGTTTGCGCTTCCGAGGATTGATAGCCTCAAGAACATGTGGATTTCCCAGATGGACATCTGTAATGTACAACTCGCCGCCTTCATGGGACAGTAGGATGGAGCCATGGTCCCAATTCGATGAGAGGGCGTCGAGTACCTTTTCTACACGGGCTAGATCAGTTAGGCGTGGTATTGTGAAGCCTGGAGCGGCGGAGGTGGATGGCCTGGAGGATATGAGAGCCAAAAGGAGATCCATTGAAGTTAATGGCGTTGAGATTCTGCCTGAAGTCAGGAGGGTCTGTAGGCCCGTTGATACCAGGAGTGACAGTTCATCATCGGCCATGATGACAAGGGTGTTCTCGATGGCGATGGCGAACACTAGTAGTAGTCGTTTGCGGAGTAATTAGTTGACGATTCCCAAGATGGGCATGGGAAGAAAACCCGTCTACCAAATAAAATGCAAAATGTTGTTAGCGCCATCTTGAGATTTCCTTAACAGGATAGCGACAGAGGGTAACTCAAGCAGACAACGCCCTCGCCTTTTACTAGGGCGTTCCGTGGGCTGCCCTTGCTTTAATGTCGCATAGCCAATTTTTCAGCTCTCAGCTTGATCTGAGCATCTAACCTTTCAAAGGTTAACTTTCTTTTTGCATTATTTTTTAGCTAACACACCCTCAACGGGGTATCTTTCTCTGGAGCACAACAAATGAGTGTGTACTGATTGCCTCGGCGGCCGAGTACGCGCACGGGCATTCGTGAGTCTTACGCACGACGTAGAGGCCCCTACTCAGGCTAGCTAGTAGTGTCCGACATACTGACCTTAGGTTCGTGGAAATTTGGGCACTGCATTACCTAATGGTTTTGTGACAGGTTTGTCTCGATCACCCCAATGGAGTAGTACTACCACCTAGAAGCAGATCGCAGTGCTGGAACCGCCTGGAAGGGCACGCCGACATTTCACACTGTATATGATCACTGAATGGCCGTATCCTGGTTAGCGCATCCAGCGAAAACACAGTGCGATTATGGGACTTCGACAACGGCCAGCCATCAGTTCGCCCCTCCATGCAGATACAGTGAAATGCGTGTCATTTTCAGCAGATGGATTCATAGACAGCTACTACTACTCAGCGGCTGCGAGAATATCGATGTGTGCACATGGGATATATACTATGCGATACTAAGAGAAACTGGCCTGGTCAACTTTCTTTTGGACCAGTCTGAGCGTGACAAGTCGATACTCGTTGCATGTGAAACTTTTATTAAAGGCTTATGCGTTCTAGGCTGATGCTTCCTGTCCATCAGCCAATCAAGGTCTCTCTCATCGGCTACCCCGAGATGGTTTTGACAACACACCAAACCCTGTTCACGTACGTCATTCATTAATACATACCGTTTTGTGCTATTCACTCTAATGATTGCAGTACGTAGGGGTG